GTTATGTATAATATCACTCTGTAATTGTTGGAAAATATTTTAATACCGTAATATTTGAATTGTAAATGGAAGGCAAAGTTCTTGGTTGTTGCAAAGAACGAGTAGAGACCGATGCAAAGGTTGCAGGGCTTTCAAGTATCTCTTCATATCTGATATTATATCACTTAAAAAATGTGAGAAAAATAAACAAGATTTAAACAATTTCTGTCTTCAGCTACTTGGCCAAGTGGCTAAGAAAACTTAAGAAGACATGTAAGGTGGAAATTCGAACCCCATCATTTACATTAATAAAAAAAATTTAAGCAATTTCAAAGATAAATTAAGAATGTTAATGTGCACCTTTGAACCACTGGTGTTGGAGATTTATTAAGATCTGCTTGGTTGCTTTCCAATAAGGGAGGTGAGGATAAGTCTCCTGCATTTTCACTAGCTTTATCCATATCCCCCTGATACAGAACCTAACCATCAAAATTCTCTTGAATATTCAATTTGACATTTTGTTATACATACAAAAGAAATGGTTATATGATTAAGCATTGGAACTTTAGTTGATTTAATTCTTAAGAAACTACTTCATCTACTGGTAATTGAGTTTTTAGACTCTACAATAAGTGGGATTAGCGGAGTAATATATATTCCTTAGGGTATATTAAAAAAATAAAATATTTGTCAGTCTTAACTTTTTTATAAAATTAAAAAAAAATTCACCGACAATGTATAAAAATGAAATCTTAATTCTTTCACCTTTGTGCATTTGGTAAGAAACAAATTACATAAAACTATGAAATTATAGAAAATATTTATGCATGCTTTCTCATTCATCTATAATTTACAGATATATACTAAAGAATATATTTGTAAATATATATTTGTAAATTATAGAGAAATAACATAAAACTATGAAACTATAGAGAAATATTTTTACTTCTGGAATTTGCTTTAATTAACTGTATTATTGAGATAGTTGAATTTTTATTTGCACTAATTAAATGAAAATTACTTTAAAATATTACTTACTATATTTCAAAAACATTTTGTACTTATGAATTTTTATCAATACTGAAAAATATTATTTATAATTTCACTCTGTCGATTTTCTAATTTGTTTTGTCATTAAATCACTTAGAAATTAGAAGAATAAAAAAATAACTTAATTACACTTCTTCATAATTAAATTAAAATGTCTCATACATGCTAAAATTTCATCATCCATTGGTTTTATATTGAACAGAAAGTAGAGAAAAATAAATTTTATTTCAATATAAAACCAATGGATGTTGAAATTTTATCATGTATGAGACATTTTAATTTAATACATGTAAAATATTTCAAAATTGTAATACATGATTAGATGTCATTAACATGGTCAAAAATATTCTAAACAATGATAAACATATTGCAATATTTTCGTAAAAAATCATTTGTATTAGCTGATTTTAAATCAGCTTTTGAGCAATGAGTGCTTCAAGATATAATTAAGATTCTGAGAAATTATAACTAGGTTACCTGCTCATTAACATCATCTCTCAGTGTCTCTTTAACAAATGCTTCAGTTGCACTATCTCCTTCGATTGGCGACATAATCAATTCGAAAATAGACTTTGTCTTGCAATAAATCTAAATGTATTGGAACAGTAAAGATATCAAGTTTGCATTGAGTAACGAAGTGATTGCATTAATATGAAAAGTGTAAAGAAACTTTACCAAGTGCAAGATATTTTTCCTATTCCATGACTATCTATATGCTATGTCATGACAATATACTTAAACCCTAAACAAAATATTACGGTAATCATAAATCTAAACTCGATTATGAAATCTAAAACCCTTTTACGAAAACATTCTTCTTACCAATCTTTTCAGACAGAGAGGAAGTTCTGGCCTCTTGATTTCGAACAGTTTGATGATTGTTTCATTTTAATATGTAGAAATATATGAAGGATGGCTCAATTATGGTAATAACCTAATCATGATTTTGCAAAAACCTTAAATAGGCTAAATAGTGCTGGGTAGATTTTTCTTTCCTTTTATTAATAAATTTAGCAAATCTGCATGCGACTCTTAATTTTGGAAGGTTTTGCTAGTCATCTTGGATTGATGAAAATCAATTTGAACAAGCCAACAATTTGAAATGGTTGGTAGCAACATAGCAAATTCAAAGTAGTAACATATGAATAATCATAATTTTTGTTTTTAGATGTTTTTAGTGGTCCAATAATTAAACACCAACTTGTTAAACTTAGGCACAATTTTGTCCAAAAATGTAGGTCAACTTATATTTTTATTTTTACATATCAATCCTTCCCATAATATGTAAAAAATATATATCATTTGGCTATTTTTCTCTTTAAATAAAATTTATTTTTCTCTACTTTATGTTCAATATAAAACCAATGGATGTTGAGGGATAGCTCAATACTATAGGTTCTTCTGATCAGATCGGATATAATAAATTCAACCAATATGAACCATTAGATATTTTCAATTATAATTTTTATTGTTATCTATAAGATATTATTATTTTCCCTATATGAGAAAAATACATCAAAAGTCCCTGAACATTTAGTAAAGATTAATTTTGTCCCCAAACTCCCTTCAGTTGTTTCATAAAAATTCAAAACCTTTTTAAATTGTTTCAATAATGTCCAAGATACATTAAATATTTCTGTTAAAATAATCTGAAATGAGTCGGTGTCAAAAAAAAGGTGATTGTCTGGTAAGTAAGTGCTGTGCAATTTAACCAAATTACCTAACAAAAGGACTAAATTGTGATGACTTGAAAATATTTTGGACTTAAATTAAACAATTGACAATGATCAAAATGAAACTTTATTTAAAGCTTAAGGACCACCAGAGCATTTTACTCTCCCTATCTAAATTGGATTTTTTGTTTTATTAAATGAAAATTACAACACACTAGGAAATTAACCCATCATCTTCAATTTCAACTCATTATACTTAATATTTTTCTCTTGTCAAAAGTTTTTCTTTTGCAATTTAATTATAAATAACCATCTTGATAGGGTGTAGATACTATATGGTAGAGTTGAGTTGAGTTGTATGTATCTAAAATAAAAGAATGATAACTAGTGTCAACTGATTCTTAAATCAGTTGACATGTCATTGAAATTAACACTTGGAGATTATGAATACAAGAGAATTTATGTACCCTTTTTAATTAGATAAGTAATAGGATAAAGGATTTATGAATAAATTAAGAACTTTAAAAAAATCATAATTATTCATTAATAAGCCTAACATTTGTATGGTGCCTTTTGCTTTTTGATAAGTAAGCTATAAAGCAAAATTAGTTTAAATTTAGGGCTTAAATCAATTAGTTTTTGGAATTAATTCATTATAAAAAAAAATGATATTCAATAAATATGATATTTGAATTCCAGCACTTAATCATCTGCAATCCCATCTTCTATTCTTAGACTCTTATTTTTATGCAAAAAAACAAAATTAATTTTATTTATTGATTAAAAAATAATGTATAGATGCTTTATATATAATTGCTTTTGGACTTTCAAAATTTTTGTTGTGAACAACTTGATTTACATTTTTCAATCAGCATAAACCTCATTAAACAAAACTATTAAAATGTGAGGCTTGGAACTATGAAGTAAAAGGGGAAAAAGAAAAGAATGGCATTCTAGAAGAATTTAGAAGTAAAGAATAAAATTAAAAAATAGAAAAACTATTTAAAAATGAAGAAGAAAATATACACAAATTGACTATTAAGGTAGGAAAAGGCTCAAGAAGACAATTTTGATAACATATGAGCTGGATGTTAATGTATACTTTGTTGGGGACATGAATTTGGAAGATTATGGGATTTGGAATTTGTTTGTTATTATACAAATTAATTGTGAGGATGAATGTGCACATTTCTAAATTATTAAAGATTTAAAATACCTTGTTATTTGAGAGAGTATAATGAGCAATTTATGATTCACACTAGGATTCAGGTTTCAAATTCACTGTACTTGCTATAAAATGGAACAAATCCATGAATTTTAGGGTAATCATGAATGTTACGTTTTCATTAATGAATTGTGTTACATAATTTTTTTAATAATTAAAAAATTAAAAATTCATATCCTTCATTTCAAATTAAGTTTATAAATATTGTGTCCGATAAGATTAGAGGTATTTGTGAGTTGAGTTCTAGTTAGACTCAATTGATATATTAAAAATCTAAAAGTTTGAGCTCAATTCGATCTTTCCATTTATATTATGATTTTATTAAAATATTAAAAATATATTTATATATTAATTTTTAAAATTTTTAAATATATTTTTATATAATTAAAATCAAATAAAAATATATTATTTTTAATACAATATCTTCATGTTGGACTAGGTCCAAAACCCTTACTACTTAACTTTTTATTTTAGGATTAGAACATTTTTCATATAGCACCAATGAATATGAAGGGTAATTGGGTGCAGAACTTAAAAGACTTTATTTAACAGGGAGGAGGAAAAGAAAAAATGATGAGGGATTTTTTTTAATCTAATTATTAGATTTCATAATTACATTTGCTAATTACCATTATTGAAAAAGGTTGTTAATTAGGCTTCAGATTGCTACTTTAATTTCTATGAACTTTCCCTATGTGTTCCGTTTAATTGGCTTTTTTGTTTGACAAAGACAAAACAATTGATGTCAAGTTATACTTTTGTCGTGAAGAGGACCCAGTAATATTTAATTTTATGTCTGATTTATTGATTGTTAATGTTTGATAATCCTTCGTGAAAACAACCAATCCACTTGCGGTGACTTTAGAGTAATTCATGATCTCGTGATTTTGATTCTATCCAAATGATTAGAATATTTTTACATCATACATTTTGTGGGATTTTTACTCATGAATTTATAACAAATTCATTTTAACAGCATATGATATTATTTTTAAGATTATTGAAATAATTTAATTATTATAGTAACACAATCACTAAAGTAATTTAATTATTAGTAATCTTAAATTATCATATTTAATATAATATTATAAATAAATTACTAATACAATATCTGACAATGACTCCCACACCCAGAATCATACAGAATAATATACTAATTTCTCAACATCTTGCATACTTTGGTTGAAGATTGAAGCATAACTAAAAGAATGTTGCTTTCCAGAGGATTTGTGGAGGAAGAAAAATTGGAAATTTCGAAAGTGTGATGCAGCAATACATGTACGAGTAGACGACGGATGCTATCCAGAATTTGATGTCATCCTCCATTACTCAGTGGCCCTTGTTTCCACGAATCCTAGCTCTCATGTCGACCTGGTAGAGAAAAAGTCAACACATAACACGTTAGTATAACCGAAAGTCTTTAATTTAAATATCATCAAGCTTGTCATAACTTGTTAAAATTTTCTCCAAAGATACCAAGGATTTCTCCTATAGAGTTTGTATTAATGCTAATTATATCGTACAAATTCAACCAATGAAGCTCCAAGTTAATGTGACAACAGCATTTTTTTCAAACTACTAGAAGTATAAACCTGTTTTTATCTCCTTTGAAATGATAAATTGTTACCATCATCTTTTATCATGAAACTATCAACCAAATAGACCAATGTGCAATACAGATATGTTGCAACAAGGATACATTTACAGAGTAAATTTCACATGCGATCACCAAACTATCACCCAAATCCCAAATAGGTCACTAAATTTTATTTTGTCCTGTTAAGCTCACTAAAGTTTGTTAGGTGCACCAATTTTGGTCACTCTAAAAGATTTCATCTAAATTATTGACAGAAAAATGACATGATTACCATGTGGCAAAAGTTATCTGCCATGTAAGCTGCCATGTCAACCAAAATCCATGTCAACAAATTATTCGCTCTGTTTTTTTAGCTGGTCAAATAATCAGGAATATTCGAGATCATGAGAAAAAAAAATACAGAAAAGTAACTAAACTGGGGTTGAATCAGAACATCACCACCATCTCACCAGTCACCACCACTGATCCTACAACTCAACTCATTATAGACCAGAGACCCCTTTTTTTTTTTTTAAGTCAAGATGATTTTATTAAACAAAATAACAATGATATAAGACTAACATCTATTAGACAGAAAACAAGAAGAAGGCTTGAGCCATGCATGAAATAAGCATGACTAAAAGCCATTAGCATAAACTCCAACAACAAAACTCAAACAGCTTGCAAATATTACCAAAGAAGAAGCAATTATATTTATATATACAAAGCCATTAGTAGCTACTTTATACTTTGGTTGTGGCACCCATACCGTTCCCACCACCATTTTCCTATTTTGGTTCAACTTATCTTTTCCACCACCATAAACCATGCCACCAGGGGCTCCATCACCCCTTCTAATTATAAAAACATGCTTCTCCAATCAGTAACTAAACCAAATAATCAAAGAATGATGCCATTAAGATGATAAAAAGGTCATATTCAGAATATGTTGGAAAGTTACTAGCTTGAGCAACAATAGGTAGACCATCAACTAACTGTGAGTACGTAGACTTAGTACTTGGCAGTAGGCGTCAGCGCCAGCTACAATGTCTGTGGGAGGAGAATTGAATCTATCAAAAAGAATAGTACGATGAGGGGAAGAAAAATATGGAATCCACCAGAAAAAAGCTATCACTGGTGATAGATCTAAAAAAACAGAAGGACAGGAAAAAGAGACTTTTTGTGAAAAATAAACCAATTAAATGGTTTAATGGACTGAGAGTAAGAAGAAGAGATTCAGGATAGAAAAAAAGCAGTTGACCACTACCGACGCCGGTGACTTAGACGGTGCCGAACACTAGAAAGAGAGAAGGGAGAGAGGATAGTTGAGAAAGTTAGAGAAAGGAAGAGGATGGTTGGGTTAGACAGAGAAGGGGGAAGAAAAATGGAATTTTTTAATTTTTATACCTTTCAAAACATGGTGACTAGATTTTTACCTGACGTGGCTGGTGATATGGTGGATGACATGTCAACCATGTCATTTTTCTGTCCATAATTTGGATGGAATCTGTTAAAGTGACTACATTTAGTATATTTAATAAACTTTAGTAATCTTATAGGAATAAATTAAAGTTCAGTGATCTAGTTGGGATCTTGATAATAGTTGGGTGACCAATGGTGAAATTGCTCTACATTTACATGCTAGCTTACAAAATAAAATATAATATAAACTTGGCACTGTGTACATTTACATTCTCATAAAGCAATAGGTTTCACATTTTTGTTTACAAAACAAAAGATTCAAAATCTATGGAAGGAAAGCTCATGGGTGTTTGGACCGCCTACGGCAGCAAAATATAATAATGGTCTCAATAACTTAGCAATTTGCATTTGTGTAAAGGAAGCATCTACTTATTTAGTTGCATCAAGAAGAGCAAAACATGCTTTACCAGCCTTCTCTCAGCAATTAGTTTCCCCTCCCTTTGTTCTAGATAGATTCAAGGTTTGAAAAAACAAAATTACAAAATGGTATCTTGGACTTTTCAATCATAGTAAGCAAAAAATATTTATGAAGGAAGCATTTTACTTCGTAAATTATATACTACTTAGACCCCAATTGGAATTGAAATCTAACATGCTTTTCAAAGTCAATATTATATCCTAGACCACATTCATGACTGTCTTAATTATATCTCCAAATATATGAAACCTGCATCCTAATATCAAATTAAACTATACATAAGAATTTAAGGTTTCTATTATTACAATTAAATAAGAGAAACCAAGGTTTTCAAGTTCATAAGCTTCATTTTTTTCCTAATATGCCTATATCAGGTACAAAGCAAGCACCTGAAACTACACATGGTATAATCAAGAACATAATCCTCCAAATATAAGGAAAAATTAACAAAAATTGAGTGAACACATGCTGAAGACTCATATCAAGCTCAAGAGGCATAGGTTAGGATGCAAGTGTTGATTGTGAAATGTACCATATTTATCTGGCACTCCAATTGATTTGAATTTTTTCAAGGTCTGAACTCTAAACATACTAAATAGATCTAAAATAACTAAAGAAATCTAAAATATGAAGAAAAAAAAAAACTCTAAGAATATCACAAACCAATCTATAATAATAACTTTTCTAGCCTATGCCTTTATAAATTGCTGTGATGATAATCTAAGAAAACCAAGATATCAGACCAAATTGCTCTATTAGGTTAATTTGGTCTTTTAAGCAATGCAGTTTGATTGGAATTTTCAGGTTAAAAATCACATTTTTTTTCAATTCACAGTCCAAACAAGGGAAAAGAAACAAATAAACACCAAACAAACCAATACTACTGATGCATTTCTTCATTACATATGCAATTATGCATTGTAGAAAAACGTATTCATTTGGCAGAGAAATATACAGAAATGCTCAATTACATTCCTATGATAATCCCTGTCCATTTTGGTAAACTTCAAGCTAGAGATTGTAACCAAAAAAATTCAAGCTAGAGAAAAGAGAGCAAATTGGCCTCTCCATGCTTTTTCACTAGCTTCCATTTATGAATATGAGCCTAGTATTGAGTAGAATTTCTGAAACAACAATGATTAATACTGACTGGCTTCTACTTGGGAGAGGAATAAAGGCATGGAATCCTGGATAAAGAACAAGAATAAAAATGGTTTCAAGTTGCTTTTTTATGCATTAAACACATAAGATTAAACTTATGAAATGATTTTCAAGAATAATTACTTAAAAATAAGAAGTATTTCTGTTCCTGAAAGGTAATTTGACACGTACCAAAATTAAAAAGGCAGATAACTAAACAAAATTTTCAAAAAAAATAGAAAGAAACAAAAAAAGAGGCCTCATTGTTCCAAGAAAACCAACAACTTATTCATCAAAATTTGAAATGGAAAAATGTTACTAAAGTGAACTCAGAAAGTAAACAAAGCACCAAATCAAATTTCTTCAAAGCTATCTCAGCAAAAATAAAATGACAATCATTCTATCAACAATTTAGTGTGCTGAAACTGAAGCCCACAATTCCATCCTCAACAACACATCTTTTTTACCAAGTTATTATATCAACAGCTAAAGTCCAAGAAAACATACCTTCTTCAGAAGCCAAGACCAAAACCCAGAAAAGCCCCACAACAACAAATAAACTATTTGGTCTAAACCAAAGTATCCATTGTAGTTACAATAGAGTCATTACTCATTATTCCTTGAGTTCCTAGAATTCATCATCAGTGGTATTTTATTACATCTGGCTAGAATAGGTTGTGCCTGTAACCGAGAACCAATCAGTCTTATTCTAGGTCTTAATCATAGGTTCATTTCGCCTACAACTTATAGTGCATAGATATGAAATCTCAATCATTCACAATGCACCAGTCCATCTAAATCTCACATGGATCCTTCCCCTCACAATATGCAGCAAAAATAATTGTAAACGATATTAATCGCTTCAATATCAACAGTAGCGAGCCGATCATTAATTCCCATTCATTCCAAAAAAAAAAAAGAAAAAGTTATAATCCAACCTAAGCCAATTAGAATTGGGAGCATATCATCTACAAATATTATAGTGCAATTAATCAATTATAGCATTGTTTAGGGTCCATAAAATTATTAGCCGAATCCACACTTTTAAGTGGTGGACCCTATGATTGGTTAATAGCAAGATTGTAATAAAGAGAATTGTATTAGAAATGCTCCCAAATTATAACTTGGACATAATCTTATGCAGAAGTAAAATCCCAAAACCATAGCCATTAAAGATAAAAGTATCCAGCAATATAAGAGACATGACAAAGAAAGAAGAAGAGAAGAAACAGCATGCCTGTCCTCTTTTGCAATTGAAATAAGTTTCCCTGAGTCCTACACACTCGCTTGATATAGAAGGGCATTTTTCTCCAGCACATTCCCTGAAGGAAGGCTTCTCAACCTAACCCATAGTAATTCCCAATTGCACAATTCAGTAATTCTCTACCATTCTATATCAGGAAAATATAAAGGAAGGAAGAATACCTTGACACAATCTGATTCACTCAGACACTTTACCAGTAGTTCCATGGCCAAACCCTTGCAAGACTCTGACATTTTTCACTTTCCCAACAAATAATTAAAATCCAACCAAAAAAAGAAGGCAAGCAAGTTTGTTTGATTACTGGGTTTACTTTTTAGTTTAGAGGGCTCTTCAGCCTCCTCGTTGAAAATGTAAAGTCCTCGGAAACTGGTTATCTGTATCTGGTGGGGTTTTAACAAAAGGTTCCTAGAAAATTATATTTAGTATTGGTACCATGAAAATTGTTATTTATAGAAAAGGAGAAAATCGAAACTTTATTGTAGATTTTTTGAAATTACATTATGGTAAAACAATTCTTATATAATGTGTCTTGTTTTGTTTTATTTTATTTTGAATTAAATATAAGATAAAAATTGAATTAGACTAGAGGTGGGTTTAAAATAATTCACCCATGTATATTTATTTTATTATTTATTTAATTTTATATTTATATTAATAAAATTATTATTTAATATTTTAATTTAATATTTTTTTGAAATACTTATTTAAAATATTATATTTGTATAATTCAAATATAATTTATATTAAAAAATAATATTTATTTAATTTTATATTTATATTAATAAAATTATTATTTAATATTTTAATTTAATATTTTTTTGAAATACTTAATTTAAAATATTATATTTGTATAATTCAAATATAATTTATATTAAAAAATAATATTTTTATAGATATTATATTAAATTAAATTATTAAATTAATATTACATCGAATAGAACCAAATACACATTATACAAATAAATATGGATGTTAGATATAAAAAAAATAATAATAACTTAATATCAAATTAAAACGAAATCAGATATAATTATTAAAATATCATAAAAAAAAAATCAAAACAAACATAAACTCATTCTGAATCATTATTATCTCTAATTATATTTAATAAAATGATTAATGTTTTCGAATCAAACAATTGAATAGCTTAATGAAAAATGTATATATAATTTTTTTTTTTCAAAAAGCCATCTCTAATTCTTTTCAAGGAAAAAAAAAGTGCTTACACACAATTCTACATTAGCGACAATAAGATGGAATCATGGAAGGAAAATTACTCATTATTAGTCCCATTCCTCTTCTCTATAGTTCTTATAATTTGAAGTAGAATAAAGAAATTTGAGAAAGAAGGGAGAAGGAAAATAAAGAAACAGATAATTATGTAGTTGTTTTCCACTTCTTGATTTAATGGCAAAAGAAGCTTTAAGGAAGACATAAAGCTTTGGTTCGAACCAAGCCTCTCTTTCTCTTTTCTCTTTTCATGTAATAAGGCGTTACCCTACTTTGAACTTAAAAAAAATAATAAAAATTATGTATTAATAAAGAAGGGATATTACTATTGCTTAGAAACTCCTATAACCAAATAATAATAATAATAATAATAATAAGAGAATTTAACATAAATAATTCATGATTTTTCACTTAAGACATTCTTAACCCAAATTCTCCATCCAGGAGTTTCATCAATTAGCAAAGTGAAGATAACCTGAAATATAAGAGTAGTTTGAGCTTGTATGGACAACACAATCACATGGCATCTCTGTAGCAATGAACTAAAAATGAGATTCAGCATAACCCTCTCTGCAACAACAATGAGAGTAATAGCTGCTCTTTAACGGCATTTGCCACCTCAACTGTACAGTCCTCCGCTGTTGTAGCTTCCCGTGGCAACCTCACCAACTGAAAGAAAGGGACAACTTCCTCCATCAACTTCACACCCTCCCACTCTTTTTTCAAGCTTGCTATAGCATCACCTCCATCATTTCTCCACACATAAGGCAGTCCACTTTTCACACCAAGCCACAGGTGATTGCATACAACCTTAACACACATCCCACTCCGGATGTCATCCATTGTTTCCCACCTAAGATTACCTTCCCCAGCCAACCTCAAAGCCGGTAGCAAGGCAGGTCCAACCACTTCCCTATCAAAGGCAATGTTGATTCCACTAACGGGCACCAGTGCCCCTGTTGGGACAGTCATAACTGCATCAACATATCGGGAGTTCCTTTGTCCTGGCTTGAGGGCTTGAGTAGGTGCATCATGATCAGCCAAAGTAAGCCATAGCCCACATGACAAAGCACATTTTACCCCACTCCGAAGACTGAATGGGTAGCCACGAACAAAAATCTTCTCCTTCAGAGAAAGGGTCCTACAGAGTATTAAAAAAGAGTGGTGTGGCTGAATCTCATTCATTCATTTACTCATTTCATTCTCAAGTCAATAATTTATATTGATTTCTAAAATTTTTTTAAAAAATAAAGTGTAATATTAAATTAAAAAATCAAAATAAATGAGAATTGGTGCAAATGGTTTATCCGATTTTGCAGCTTTGCAGGCGATATATGTGCAGTGGTTTCTCCGTCCCCTTTGACAATTTCGGGTTGTCCTGACTCCTGAGAAGCTAGCCGTGAGCTCATACGTGCCTGGTTACGTGTAAACATAAAGCCCTAGGGTGGAGTCTAATGGTAACACAAAAAACAGCGAAGAGAAAAATGATTAGAGTGTTGGAAAGAGGAGATGTCCATTTGCATGTATAAGATAGGTTTTCCGCATTTCAACATGGTTACTGAACACTGGCAACATAACAGTGGCCTGGGTTTTTGGCCTGATCTGCATGTCAAAACAAATCAATGGGTATATATTTTCCTTTTGCTTTTCTCAAAGCAAGGAAAGATCAGTTTATGAATTATGAGTCAAATAAATCATACAGGCATGAAACCAAACCCCAATCCAAGAATTTGTGCCTGAATTATAGGTCGTGTCCCAAATATTTTCTACTCATACTCATCATCATTCATATCATTCTTGCTGTGAGTTGAGAGCCTTAAGCTTTCCTGGATTCAGCACTTCCAAGGAAACCCCTGCTACTTTTATTTACATCGATCTCACTCGCTTGCCTCATTTGCTTCTCACCGTTCACATTCTAACGGACAAAAGTGACAATGTTAGAGCGAAGGTTAGGTTTCATGTCATTTTAAATTCAAATTAAATTAAATTCAGAAAAAAAAAAATTTGGGTTCGGATTTAGTCAATTTGATTTCAGATCCATTTGTAAAATATAAAAATTATATAAATTAAAAATCATTTGTTAATAATATAAAATTATATTATGTTAAATATAAAATTAACTTATTCTAGATAAAAAAAATTAATTTTATTCATGAATTATGTGCCATATGTCAGTTAGATTATGCAACATTTTGAGTGTCATAGAATTTGGGTTAAGCTTCATTTTTCTATTTTATTAACTGATGATAATACAATCTTTTCTCTGATGATTTTAACTTGTTGGTTTAAATAGTACATCTTCTCCCAACTACATTTTGAGAAAAAAAAGATGCCAAATAAAGTTTTAGGATTACAACTTGAAATTCTAACGGAATGAGATTTATTAATGGGAAAAAGTTACCTCTCATTAGCCAAATATCACTTATCCCGAAAATATATCTATATAATCTAAGAGTATTTATGGGAACTCCTTCAGGCCTTCAGCCATTCCCGTCCTCAAGCATCAAGATTGGCATCCAATTATCAGCTAAATGGTCATAACAGATCTCTTATACATGGCTGCCCGTCGCAAAAAGCACATTGGGCGGCTGTCCTTGGAGATTTGAGCAATTTCATGCATTTTGTCCATCCTCAACAGCTTTGTTGAATGAGGCAGCAAGGTATTCTGCAAGACTTGGTTGAGAATTAGACGTGCTAGAAGCCTCTGAAACTTTTGCCTTTTTTATGCCAATGGATTTTGGAAGCCAGGAATTTGAAGAGCCTGGGGTACTCAAACTATCCATTCCAGCTTCTTGTCTCCGCCATAGAATAGGCTTTAAATGCTGCCAAGGATCTTCCAACATGGATTCATCAAAGAAACTCTCTGGCCCCAATGTCCTGTTTGATGCTGAGCTACGGCCATGAAAACCTTGCCCTCGTCCGCCACTCCTTCCCATACCAGGACTGATGCTGCCACTATATCCAGGGCCCCTGCCTCTTCCTGAACTGAAACCAGGACTGCCTCTAGGTCCTGGACCAAGGATTGGATTGTTACCAAACATTTGAGGCCTGCCTCTTCCATAATCATAATTAGGGCTATCCACAGGTGAAAAGCCAGGGCTGGGCAAATTACCATACCTTGATCCATTAGAGGGATTCCACACCCTAGGAGAAGTTCCAGGATGCATGGGAGAAGTACCAAACATTCCTCTCGGGCTTCCATCAGAAGCAAAGCTATAGTAATTAACAGTTGCCTGGGATCCACTCCAAGCATCAGAATTACCATGATTCATGGGTGAAGGACTTCTTATTCTTGGGCTTCTGTGGGTAGTAAAGCTACTATATGGACCTTGTTGATATATACTGTGATCAGGTGTTAACTGGCTCTGCACCTGATGAACAGGCAGATTCCTACCAGAGTTCCTTGGTCCTGCCATATCAGAATAAATTAATCAATTAATTGGAAATACTGAAAGGTTACCAATTGTTGTCAGTTTAGAGATTACAGAAATTTAATGTGACTGGTTTATTAATAACTCCTTAACAGAGAATCTACTTAGTAGTTCAAATCAGATCAGACTATTATAATATCCCTCATTTGATCCTTAATATCTAATGTTTCTTCAAAAACATTTTGAGGGAAAAATTATGGTTGCATATGCAAAATATATGCAGAACTTCAAAAGTTGGAAGAAGGATGGAAAGGAGAAAGAAGGGGAGGCAGGGGCTTTAGGATGAGAGCATGTATTATTGCATACATCAACTAAACAAGCAGTTTAATAGATCAATCTCATGTTTAGATAGATACTAATAGTAGGAAAACAAATTACCAGGATGGGATGGTGAAGGCCTAGCCAATGGCCAGCCACTAGTAGTTGGGGATGTAAAAGATTCTCGGGCTGTCCCCTTGCCCCTCTTCTTATTAGCGGAAAATGCTGCCATAGGGTCAGTGTAGTAGTCAAAGCGGGGAGTTGTACAAAAGTTATCCTGCACTGTCGAACTTGGGGATGTCCCACTCAATGGATTGGAAAGGCAACTTGCAGAAGTCTCAACTTTATTAGACACTTCAGCATGAGCAGCTTCCATGCGCATTGCTTTCAATCTTTCCTTTCTTTTCTCAGATTCCTCCATTTATCTTAAAGACAGAGAGAGAGAGAATGTGTTCAAACACATACATCGCCTTCCAGCTTGGTAGAATTCCGTAAAGAGAAAATGAAGTGACACAATTGAATCATGATATCGCCTACCAAAATCTAAAGGAAAATTGTGATGTTTGTGCACAAGGTTCCTGTGTTTTTAAAAGATGGATATAAGTTTCAACCTCTAAGTTCTAAGTTTACTTAATAACAACTCTAACAATTTAATAAATTAGAATTTGAACCAATCTCACCCAATTTTACAGTATAAAAATATATCCAATGACAATGTTTCAACCTGCAAACCATCCTTTTCTCTTCAACTTTACAGAGTTAACATACATAAACCAAAAATCATTTGTAATATAATTATGAACAATTAATAAAAACAGCGGGTTAACTTCAAAATAAGAGACTGGGCAATAGTCATAATCTTCCCATTACAGAAAAAATAATCTACCCGAAACTTGTCCATTAAAACATTCCCTTTATTTAACATTTTGGTTTCTGCAACTGAAATCCTAACCAACTAATAGAAACAGCTGCTGAGACCATTAGAATAACGAATCACCGAGAAAGTTTGAACCTTGGAACTAAATATAAGAAAATGAGAAAAAAAAAGAAAAAAAAAAGAGTTCAAAACGATCAAGTTATCTGATTTCACTTTATATTTTAGAGTTATCTCCTATTTTCTTAAACTCGTACACAAAAATGTCATGGATTGATTGGGCTTGGATCATCCCAATCCACCTAAACTGGCCCAAACTATCTCTTTAGTCCATGATAATGCAGGCTATGGGGTTCAACCCACGTGCATGGTCCAAATCTTTCTTTTTTTAAAAAAAAAAAAGAGGTATGATTCTTAGACAAGGGAGAATCGAACTTAACTTTTTGAGTGGGAGATAAATGTACTTTAGTATTTGGCTAAATACCCAAATGCTCATGCAATTTCTCTTGCAACTAAAAAAATGAATTCATGTGTGTTATCATCTTTACGAAATTTTATTTAATATTTTCCAAAGGTTTTTTAGTCTACACTAGAATAAACTTCTTATGTTCACAGTCCCTTAATGTTGCTAACTTCTAATGTCATTTTATTACACTTTTATACTACTAAAGAATTAAACTATAATAAGTCAAATTTCTAAGCTAATCTCCATTTGTTAACGTTTAGCTACTTGCTCATGATTATTTAATTTTTGCTTTTTGAAGTGCTATAAAATAAAAGTAAAAGATAAAAAGCAATTCATAATTGATTCAAAATGGATAAAGAATTAAAATTCAATGCCGATTATAACATAATTAATCTACATAGAAGTAATCATGAATTTGGTCATCTAAAGAATTTACATTTGTGTATAATTCAAAGTACCAGGAGCATGCGTACCTAGTTAAAAGTTCTTTGAAGATTCAATGCAAGATGCTCCTCCAATTGAGGCTAGCTCTAAATTCCTTTAATTGAGCTGTAAGCCATTCATTTTTTTAATAGGAAACACTAAACAATAGGTTACTTAAGCAGAAAACTAACAAAGCAACAGAATAAAGAGAAAATTTCAGAGCCAGCCAAATATTAAATAGGTAAAATACATTGAGATAGAAACTTCTCATAAAACTATATGAAAACTTTAAGCAGCATTAAGAGACATATTTAGTTAAACCATTTCCTGTTACAGAATCTAAGAGTTACCTCCATTATAAAATAATTAGTTTGCAACTTAAGTGCTAGATTAACATGCTATCTTTTATATAATTCCTTGCTCAATGTATCTAATTCTGAGATAGCTTCATCAACTAATTGCTCAGCAAGGTGAGATGCCATAGTGATCAAGTTTACCATGCAACATGGGTTTCAAAAATAAATTAAAAATGCTCAAATAAGTCATAAATTTACAAAGTTTAAAACAAGGTAATAGCAAGTCCGAATACCTTTTAACAGAATCCATAATTTCAAAATAAAAGACAGAAAAGTTCAAGGGAAGAGCCAATCAGATTGAATGTGTAGCATAGGAGCACACTCAACTTCTTTGACATCATGAATTATCAACTAACATAATTTGTGAATTACCATATAATAAAACATATCTTTTCCAATTATGATTTATTACCTAATAAAAATCAAAGGCAAAATGGCAACAAGCTATTGGATCACAATATCTGACAGCAAAATATAAAAATTGCCAACAATCCAAGTAAAAATCAAAACCCGATAACTGGGAAATTAGTTAAAAGCCAATTTATTTCTTTTCTACTAGAAAGAAAAAAGAAAAAAGAGGACATAAGGTAGAACCGAGAATGATTACATTAAAGATGAGATCTTTATTATCAGAGATGAGAGCAAATCCTTGTTTATAATGAAGCATCTAAGTTAAACCAAGAGCTATGACCATGGAGAAATAATCCAAGACAACAGATTAGCCATTTGAAACTTATGAAAGGCCATCTTAGGAGTTTATAGCACAATGAAAGCAACTAATTTATTGTCCAAAAGCCAATAAAAAGGAATCAAACAAATATATATACAACTACCCTCATAGAACAATAGCAACTCATAGCCTTGGGCAGAAAGAGGAACACTGCATTTGCTTCATTACAAGGTAAAGGGAGAATGGAAATAAATAGAAAACTATTTTCAACTTCCCCTTCATGTCATTTGGTTCATAAATTGAAAGACAAAAAGGATTGACTTTTCTAATTAGTTCCAAGATGGATATCTCAAGGAAATATTTTCTCTCCAAACAAACGGAGAAGGGAGATATTGAAGGAGAGAGGGAGAATGAAGATACCAAATGAAAAAAAAAAATTAGGGATTTGAAGGATTATTACCTCAATTATTCGTTGAAACTGTAAGCAAATTTCTACAAGAGAAAAAAAAAAAAAAAAAAAAGGAAACAAGGATTAGTAGAGAAAAATACCGAATGATCTTCAAAAAAATCAAAGAAAGAGAGAAGAAGATATTTGAAATCAAACGAAATAATTAAATTGCTTGAACTATTTCTTTAAAGTTTAACCAAATCTCTACAAGAAAAAGAAATACTAGGGTTAGTGTAAAAAAATTTAAAAAAAAAAAACAAAGAAGGAAAAAAGCAGCCAACGAACGAGGAACAAGAAAGTAGGAAGGAGGCGGTGGAGTGAGGAAGGGAGGATGTCGGCCGGAGGTGTTGAAAGAGAAGCTAGCGATATCACTGGTGTTGCTGGTCGGGCGGCAGGGTTGAAATAAGTGAACTGCGGTGAGTGGTACGGAGAAAGATGAAAAGAGGAAATTACATCCTGGCTAGTTGCTTCCCAAATTCGAACGGTATTTTTAAATTATTCAAGATTAAATTTTTCAATAATTTATTCTATTGGCCTTTTTTTAATATCTTTAGTAATTTAATTTTAAATTTAGATTAAAATATTAAAAAAGTCATCTAATATAATATAAAATATATATTATCACTTAGCATAAAAATTTGTAATTTTTTATACTTTCTCCTCGTCAACGTCATACCATTCATTTTATTTGTAAAAAATTGAAATTTCAATTTGATTTCTATCTTTTTTTTTATTTTTTTCTAATATTATTTATTATATATTTTAAATCAAGTTTCAAGTTTAATTAAACTTATGGAATAAATTAAATTTAAATATCTTAATATACAATTCAAATAACTTATAAATTTAATTAAAATTTTATATTTTAATATATTTTATTATTTTAATTAAAAATATATTATTTTATTTTTATAAATATATATCAATTCAAATTTAAATTTAAATATAAATAATTTAACTCGAAATCAAATATAAAATTTAAGCTCATTTTTTATTTAATAAATGAATTTAATTAAAAATAATTTAAATTTTATTTTGAATCAAATTTAAATTTATTTAAATTTTAAATAATAAATTTTAAATTGAACTTGAACTTCCTTTTATTGGTATCGGTTGGGTTTGGCTGATGATAGCAAAATGTATCGTGTTACATTTATACGGAACAATCAATGGAATCCAAACTAGTCTAGTATGGGAAATGGGTTTGGGTTTACTAGCCCATCCGACAACTGACTGACCCGTCTAAAGTCCATTAAAACTCTTCCCCACGTATGAATAAGAGGAAAACCAAAGCCGAAGGTAAGAACTTCAACTGATTTATATCTTCTTTTTCTTTTAGTTTACTTTATTCCTTTTGTTTTTCAGTTACACAGTTAGAATTTGGAAGTTCAAGATATATGAAGTTTACATGGGATTGTATGATGTATCTTACGTCATCAGTTCCTCCTTTAACTCATGGTAGCTTTTTCAAACTTGGTCTGAACCAGAGCCACTTAAAACCTCTGCCATGTTCCAGAACGGATAACAATAATGGCAGAGTTAAGCAAGTTGCTTTAACAGAATTCAACAAGAAAAACCCCATTTTTAAGTACCCATTTGGGTCTAATAATGGAGAAGAGCTTTCCACTGAGTTACACAACCAAACAATTCAAGGGTATTGCAAATTAGGGGATGTAGATAAGGCTATGAAACTTGTTGCTCAGTTGGAGGCTTTGGGTTTTCATCCAAATTCTATTTCTTATAGTTTTTTAATTGAGAGTTTGGGAAGTGTTGGCAGGACATTGGAAGCTGATGCCTTGTTTCAAGAAATGCTGTGTCTTGGATGTAAACCTAGGATAAGATTGTTTAATGCTTTGCTTAAAGGGTTTTTGAGGAAAGGGTTGTTGGGATTAGCTGAAAAGGTTTTGGTGGTAATGGATCAAATGGGTGTTTGTAAAAATCAGGAAACACATGAGATTCTTTTGGATTATTATGTTAATGCTGGAAGGTTGGAAGATACATGGATGGTAGTGAATGCGATGAAGAAAAATGGGATTCCACTGAACTCTTTTGTGTATGGTAAGGTTATTTGTCTTTATAGGGACAATGGAATGTGGAGGAAAGCAATAGGCCTTGTGGAGGAGATTAGGGAGAAAGGGATATCTTTAGACACGCAGATTTATAACAGCATTATTGATACGTTTGGAAAATATGGAGAGCTAGATGAAGCTTTAGAAGTGTTTGAGAAAATGAAACAAGAAAGTGTAAGGCCTGATATAACAACATGGAATTCTTTGATTCGGTGGCACTGCAAGGCTGGAGATCTCACAAAGGCTCTTGACTTGTTTACTGAAATGCAGGAACAAGGATTATATCCTGATCCGAAGATCTTCATGGGCCTTATTAGTCGATTGGGAGAGCTTGGGAAGTGGGATGTAATAAAGAAGAACTTTGAGAACATGAAATTTAGGGGACATCAAGAAGTCGGGACCATTTATGCAATCTTGGTTGATATTTATGGACAATATGGGAGATTTCAGGATGCTGAGAATTGCATATCTGCTCTAAAGTCAGAAGGCCTCCAACCTTCGGCCAGCATGTTCTGCGTCTTAGCAAATGCTTATGCTCAGCAGGTGCTGTGTCCCCTTTCCATCTTTTCAAAATTTTCAATCATTCAGTCTTTATTTATTTTCAATTTTTTTCTGGGTCAGGCCTTCGATATTCATACATATTTGCAAGAGATGATGTTTTGTTTCTTTTGTATTGTAATTTATCACGCTAAATTTTCCATCATACATAATTTTGAATTATGCACAACAATTCATTCCGGTCAGGAATCCTACTTTCCACCAGACAAACGTCCCCTTATATAACCTCAAATGAATCATTCCCCCTGCAGTAGGCTTCAGTACCTCTCAAAACAACTTCCTGGTTTCCATGTGAAGACTAAAATTAGAATTCTTGCTCTTCTTCTATAAGTGCTAATGAGGATTAACTGAAAATTTCAGATCACAAATAAGCTTTAGGAGACGTTAGCCACTTTAAGTTCATGTAGTCTGAGAGTAATTAGGCTGCAGGATTAACAGAACTAGGCTTGCGATATTTTATTTTTTCTGCTAATTGATAACAGATAAGTAGCCTCTTTCTGATTAAAAAATATTATATCGGATGGCATCTTGGAAGGCCATTGCTTTCAACTTCAATCTGGTGAATGCTAAATTTATTTGATAAAAAAGATGAAACCTTTGTTCTGCATACTGGTCCATAACTTTTTCTCTGTGCAGGGATTTTGTGAACAGACCGTTAAGGTTCTTCAACTCATGGAAGCAGAAGGCATTGAACCCAATATCATAATGCTGAATGTGTTGATCAATGCCTTTGGTATAGCTGGGAGACATGAGGAGGCATTATCTATTTACGAACATATAAGAGAAACTGTGAGCCCTCATGCTTTGCGTGATGTAAAGTGATTTTTTTCTTTTGGGGTGGGGGGAGGGGAGGGGATGTTAGGCATGATAACTAAAGTGCAGGACCCCTTTATTTCTTCCATCAATTCTTCATTCAAGATGTCTTTTTTTTTTTTTTCTAATTTTGACTTTCTCATTGTTTTGAAGGGTATTAGTCCTGATGTGGTTACTTATAGTACCCTCATGAAAGCTTGTATTCGAGCCAAGAAATTTGATAAGGTGCTAAGTGCATTTAAAGCCTCTGAAGTTACTTGATTACATTTATTGCAAATGATATTGTTCTAATACATGTTTGTCTCACGGGCTAGGTTCCTCAAATATATAAGGAAATGGAATCCTATGGATGCACTCCGGATAGGAAGGCTAGGCAAATGTTACAGACTGCCTTGATGGTTCTTGAACAAAGGCATTGTAAGTATTAGATCAGTCTTGGGTATATATTGGGTTTTAAAGTTTGTAATAACTAATAACCCAGATTGGCACCAGATAGTTCTTTATATTTTGATTGTTTCAAGAGTTTAGATTGATGTTGCTTATACCTGGTGACCTGATTGACGTTAAAGATATTTTGTCTGCTCATATTATGTTCATTTCCCAATTGCTATGGCTTTGGCTAAGCTGCGCTTGTTGTTTATAAAATTTCAGAACAAACTAGCTTGCTAAAATGTGGACTTGTAAATGTACCAATGCTTTGGAAATTAAGTAGGCAATGATGCATTGGTATGTAGGCATCGTTAGTTGGAGGTTTTTCTTCTAACAGTGCATTTATAATATGCAGGAACTGTTGTCTGACACCAAAAAATGAGGGTTCTGAAAGCTATTTCCTAACCACCCCAATGATTGCCTTGTCTCTGAAGTCAAGATCTTATCAAAGCTAATCCAACTACAGCCCAAGATGGTATCCTTGACTGAAAGTTGAAAAATGAGTGAAAAAGAAAATGAAGTGTCGAAACTTGCAGGAAAAGAGCGTTCAATGACCATTTTATGAACTCCTGAAGAGAATTTTGGTAGGAAGCAGGTGGAAATGTGACATGATGGTCTTCGATGGGATGGTATATTTTACTTGCTTAAGGATAAAAAAAAAATGAGCTGTGAAGAGTGAAAAAATTGATCTAATATTATGTCTTTGGTTTTTTAGTGCAGAAATGAAGAGAAAGAAATTGATTAAATTAAACAGCTGTTATGGCAGTGAGCTTTACCAATATTTATAGGTTAGATTTACCAATTTAAGTGATAAGAAGGCTTTGGTTGAAACAATCTAGATTATTGGGGAACTGATTGCATTCAAAATTTTAAAGTAATTCCTTTAAGACAACTGTTAATATTGGTTCCTTCATATGCATTTGAAATCAGGAGTTCTCTGAATGATTATATTGGGTTCAGCATCTGAAACATCAAGGAGTTACTTAGTGAAACTGGAATAATGTGGCTTTTCTGTGTTAGTTCAGATCACTCTGTTGCTTGTTAGACAGAAAGGGACATTCAGATTTCAGGCTGCATGGATAAATGATTTTACGCCGATTAATGGTCATTCAGTATCCTGTGATTTATGTATGAAATAAATGGCTCAAAATTACTTTGGTTGGTAGATGATCATGTTAGGGATGTAAAAATAGATTGGCCATCTTTGTGGATGTAGAAGGTATTGTGAATGACTGCAAGAACTTTTGAAGAATGCTGGACTGATTTTTATACTAGAGCAAATTCTACTTGGTATGTGGAGAGAAGAACAGTACCATTTCTATATGGTCATTGCATAAAAGGAATCGATCCTGTATCATAGCAATTATTTTTAATTTAATACCTTTAGTTCACATATTAGCAGAGTAATAAGGTGGCAGAACAGCCAGACCCTGATAGTGCTTCTTTCTTTTAATTTTTCGGTAAGTCTGCATTATCATCCTTGTTTCATCACTTCATTTTTTTTATATCTTTACCTAAATTAATACTTATATTTTGTTTTCTTAACCCTGGCATGGGGATAAGATTAAACAACATCCTTATATTGGGAGATGCTATAAGCAGTGAAGCCTCCTTATGCAACGAGTCAATGTCAACCAATGTCACCCCTTAAGACTCACTTCGCCGAATATACTGAGTTGATTTTGCTTGTTACACTTGGCACTCTGTTAAAAGTATAAAAAGGTATGGTTTGTATGATAATCAGCGTTTAATTTGAAGATTGCTACAGATTGTTCTGCAATTGAAACAATTCCATATTGAAAATTATGTTAATCTTTGAGGGTTATGTTTATAGTTGGTAGACATTTCAACTTACCAACTATTGCTGATATTTAACCTGAGAAGCCATTTTTAAAGGTTATGCTTCATCTGTTTCTGATATTGCTAATGATAATGGCTTCGTTATTGTTGATTATATGCATGTCTCTTGGTCATCTGTTTCGATGATACCGTCAAGATAAGTTATTTCCTGGATTTATATCTTGATCATTCATGTGAATTTCATGTGGTGTCTTATTTCCTGGAATGGTTAGTTCTCATAATTATAAACTATAATCATATCCAACATGGTCCCTCCTGGCAAGTGTTGTACCAACTTGGATGGTCTTTCCTTTTCTTTTTTTCACAAAGTAGGTCGTAATCTGGGGATAGGGGAAGGAGTTGTAAGTGTTGAGATTTGAACTCTAAATCTACCGAAAGACGACTACCTTTTTATTAGCAATAGCCGCTTCCATCATATCTTCGTTTTAAATTTTGTTAGGTTTTATTGACCATATAAAACTCAAAATGGTGGAAAGGATGAGGAAACAAAATTAAGTATTCCCTAATGGAAGGATATCGTCAAGGATGGTTGATGAAAATGGTTGAAAAATGATTTCTAAACCCAACAAAGAAAAAAGAAGGGGCTAGCTTTTAACTTACTGTTGGTAATTGACATTGCTGATTTTCTAAACTTTGATCTGATCATTTGACTGCCAATTTCAATCAACACTCTTATCTTATTAACATTAATTAAATCATTTTGTCAACAAAAAATATATATATATATATATATATAAATGTGACCTCAAAGTGGAAAATCCATTTTTTATTTTGGCTATGAACTATATGATATGTTACATTACGGACGAAGCCAAAATAAAGATGCTGAAATTAAATCTTTTGCTGCAATTTCGTATTTGATATGTTTTTTTTTTTTTTTTTCCTTTCAAATTTGTTTTAGTTTAGCAAAATGTTAACAGAAAGAATAAAATGAAATAGGAGATATTTGTCATAACGTTTAGATCTAGAAATTCATTGTTTAGACATTGACTTGAAGAAGTCGTCATCAATTTTTTTTTATTTAAATGCAATTGGTCACCTAAAGAATTTATCTTTTTAAAGAACACTTAAGCTTAAAGGTCCCTAAAAAAATAAGTTTAAGTCTACTGATCAGAACAGGGTTCGAGAGTTCGGTTATGTGTGAGGAAGGTTACAACACCTTCACAACGCTCATCGAAAGATGATATCAGCTTAATTTTGTGTTATCCAATAAGCTTTAAAAATTTAGCAAGTAATTAACTATTAAAAATTATTCTCAATTGGTTCTAATATTTTTAGTAAAAAATTAAAAAAATTCATTCACTTCAAGAGTATGTAAGAAGACTATTGTTTCACTTACAGAGATTTTAACGTCGAATTATTTAATATTAAAAAAAATTTTAAAAAATAAAAATAAAAATAAAATTCGGCTTTAGGTATAAATCTTTCTCTTAAAAAAAATAATAATAATGATTGATGCAATAAACTGAGGATGAAATCAATGTTTGATTCAACAATTTACTGCTAAAGTGTCGATGAATAAAATATTTGACCAACAGCATATGACTTGTGAGCAACTTTAATTTTTGTTCGTTTTTATTTATTTATTAAAATTAATAAATAATTATAAATAATATTTTAAAATTTGTTAATTAAATGAATAAATAATAAATATAAAAAAACTTTGTTTGTATTCGGTCTTTTTATACCCTTAATCAGTGTTGTTTGACCAAAATTAATGTTATAGTAACTCATAATTTAAAATTTTATATAAAAAATCTCGAATTAGAAGCATTTACTGTTAAAATTTAATATTGAAAATTAGAATTTGAAACACGGAATTAAAAAAAAAAATTTCAAAAAGGTTGAACGCCAGGCTCTTTTGTTGGAGATGTGACACAGGTGAGCATGTTGTAGGGTCAAAAACATAAGAGCAAAACAATACGTGAAGCATCAAACATTAAAATATATATAAAAAAATTTATATTTAATATAAAATTAGTGTATAAACTTTATATATTATTAATAAATTAAATAATATTATTTTATTAATTAATAAAATATAAAATTTATACATCATTAAATATAAATAAAAAAAACCAAATATTTATTAAAGGAGGGGAATAACAAAGGATTTGGTGCGAGGAAAGAGAGGGCACACGTGTCTTTTTTATAGTTATAATCGATCAAATTCGTATTAATATAATATTACATTTAATTTTGAGACTCATTTGAAAATTGAGATTTTAAATTTGATCAAAATTTATTTTTTTTAGTATAAATTTAATTTGAGATAAAAATTAAATTATTTGAGTTCGATTGATTAAATTTGATTAATATGTAAAAATAATTTTGATTTTTATATTTGATAAAAATTTAATTATTTATGTTCAAACTCTAAATTTGATATATTTTATTAATTAATATAATTAAAATATAAAAATTTGATTAGACATACAAATTACTTAAGTTTGATATAAAAAATATTTAAATTTGATTAAATCGATAAATTGAGTTATTCAAACTTAAACTTGATTTGATAATAATTAAATTAAATTTAAATTTTATTTGTAATGAATCAAAATAGTTTATAAATAATAATATATCATTTATATTTTTTTATAAAAATAATTTTAAAGATAGATAAATTATTTAATTCTTTAGATCAAGATAAAATATATCAAACAATTTAAAATAAATTATTACAAATTATATATTTAAAATAATCTAAATAAATAATAATTAATAATATTCGAATCTAAATTTTTTTTATCTAAAAAAATAATTTTAATCGATTAAATCAATCATTTATTTATATATATCATTTATACTTTTCATCTTCTTATGCAGCGCTAACAAACCAGCTTTGTTTTTATGGGTCCAAAGATTCCCCTATGGGCAGTTAGCGCCGTACTGTTTAAGTCCATTTTAAAGGCACGATTTGACATGCTAATCTGCCGGCATTTGCTCCATGCCAACTGCTGGAAATAGGAATAGGGAAGCTACAACTTTGCGAGGTTTGATACTCAGCATCACCCAATTGACCACCTATTTTCTGATCGCAAATGCTTGTGTCACGTTAAGCGTTTCAATAAAAGTAGGCAGACTGCATTTAATTTTACATTGGATAAAAAAAGAAATATCTGCGTATAAAAGTCTGTAATGCATATCCCAATAAATTTATTTTCTAAGAAAAAAATAATAATCACATGATAAATAATATTAAAATTAATTCAAAGTTATACTTTAGGTCAAGCGCTCCAATTAGGAGCGAAAATAAATCAATAAAATTAAAAATTAATTTAAAATCATAATATTTAATTTAATTTAAATTTTTATTTGATTTATATTAAATTTAAATATTAAATATATATTAAATTCAAATCAAATTTTGAATTGAAAAATAAAAATAAAAAATTTAATTGAATTATCCATTTTTATTAATTTTTATAATTATTTTAAATTTTTATAAAATAAAAATAATTATTTTATATCCAAATTTATTTAAACTATTAAAAATTATATCAAAATAATATATAAAAAACAAAAAATTAAATTTTAAAAACCAATGAATCAAATTAAACTAATTCAATATAATTTTATTTAGATTAGATCATATGAAAGTTTGGTTCAAATTTATATTATATTTTAAAAATTCATAACTTTATATATTATTTAAAAAAATCAAATCGAATCAAATTCGAATAGTTATCACCCTTAGCTCCAAAAGTAAACAAAATGAGTTAACTATAATGAGAGAGTGACAAGATTAGATGTTGGTAGTTAAAAATATTGTGCAATAGTGAATAGATTTAATATTTATTTTAATTATTCATAATTTGAATAATTATGTTTAAAAAAGAAACATTTTTTTTAAATAGTTATGCAACAACAAAGTTACAACTATTAAATAAATAATTATATTTAAATAGAAACATTTGTTTGTAATAGTTATATAACAAAAAGAATTATAACTATTTAAACAAATTGATATGGTTATTAAAAAAAAAAACATTTTTGTTCATCAACTATAAATAAATCTTTATGTCTAATCATTTTTACTATTTTTAATTAGAAAGTTTGAGATTTTGTTGTATCCTATAAATATAATTACATTTAAGAAAGTATTATTCATAGTTCAAAGTCAAAATTATTTTCTATTATTTTTATTCTCTTATACATTTTTTCAATAATTTAAAGGTAATTATGAAATTCATATTTCTCATTAGGAAGATACAAAAAAAAATTTGACAAAGTTGGCAAAATTGACTTTTGAAACAAGTATGGAAAGCTTCAATTATTCAAATGATTTTTTGGTGAAATAAATGCTAATAAGCTTATTGTTATTATCTTTTTAATTTTTATATTTTACTAAAAGAATTGATGATTAATAATTCATAAAAGATCTTAAGTCTCATTGAATTTTACTTTTTTTATTTACTATTCTTTTAATATTTTTATTTTAAATTAAATTATTTAATTTATGATTCATGATTTTATGGTACGTTATATAGAGATTTTCCTGCTCATGGCATTGAATATTCATGAACATAAAATTGACGTGGAGTACTTACCAGTTTTGATTATGAATCTTTTATAATCTTGTTATATTTTGATAAAATTATGGTTATCAAATCAAAATGATAAAGTTTTCGAAAATTATTTTAAGGCATAAAAAAATTTGTGAATTTATAAATTTTGTTGAAAAGAAACAAGTATACGTGTTCTTATCATAAAATCATATTTTATTATCCATATTCCATATTGTATTTTATTGACAGGAGAATAATGCATAATGCATAATTCATATTATTTAATTTATATAATATTAATTCAATAAGAAATGAACATATTATTTAAGATCACTTCAACTTAATTAAAGAAGTTATATAATTCTTTATAACTAGTTAAAATGCTTTTTCTTTTTTGGGTAAAAATTTTCATATACTTTGTAATTTGGACACAAGTTTTATAATATTGTGTAATTAACGTGAAATTATGGTTGTTTTTTATGATACAAACCATGGTAGATATGGGCTTTAATGTCCATGATAAAATAATTATTAAGTATCAAAGAGTTGGCATGAAAATCTTAAAAGGAGACAATAAAAAGCATGAGTTTATTAGTTTTGAAGGTTATTATATGGCATCATATTTATTAATGTATACTCTCATATTGATTTGCAAAATGAAAAAGTTTGGATATGTTAGCTTATGAAGTGATTATATTAAAAATTCAATCTCAAATGAGAGTAATTACAATTAAAAAAAATTCAATTTCAAGATATTTAGTTAGTAGTACTATAAATAGAATAGATTTAAACCCTTATTATTAAACACCAATAATAAGAACCTAACTTTGAATTAGTAACATCTAATTACAAAATTTAATAGGTAAAAACAAGTTATTATTATGTGCTTATTAGGTACTAGTTAAATCTATTCAAATTTTAAAAATTAGTGTGATCTATTGCATAGGAAGGGTGAGTTTTTATTCTATTAATAGAGTTTATTATTTAAATGCTAAAACAATAAAAAATATCGTGAAAACTCTACCTATATAAATATAAAAATACTATATAGAAATACTATTGTTTTAACAAAAAGAATTGAGACATCTCTTGTAAATGTTTATAAATAAAATATCTACATATTATAATAGTGTCAAATCAGTTATAAACCTCTAACATAATGATAAGTAAATATTATATATATATATTATATTTTTAATTTTAATACTAAGAATTAAGATTTAATTTGCAGACATCATCAATTTCGTTAGAATTTTAAAACATCTTTATAAATTGAAAGTTTAAATCAAAAAATATCTTATTATATTTATAATATTTAGTTGTGTTACAAAATTAAAGATTAAGCACCAATATTTTAAACTAGTAAAAAATTGTTGATAATTTAAAATGTTGCACATTGGTGAATAAATTTAATATTTGTTTTAATTTTTTATAGTTTAAATAATTATGTCTAAATAAAAAATATTTGTTGAAAATAATTATATAACAAAAAAATTATAACTATTAAATAATTAATTATGTTTGAATAAAAATATTTGTTTATAATAGCTATATAACAAAAAAATTATAATTATTTAAATAATTATAAAAAAGACAAATTTATTCATCAATTATAAATAAATCTTTATACATAACCCTTTCACTATTTTTGATCAAAGAGTTTATAATTTTGTTTTATCTTAAAAATATAATTATCTTTAAAAAAGTCTTATTCACACATTAAAGCTAAAATTCTTTATTATTATTTGTATTTTCTTCAATTTTTTTTAGGTAACAGAGAATATCATTGTAAATGTTCTAAGAAAATTAGATAAGGTGTATTCAATCTCAAGACGAGTAGAAAATGAAAAATCTTTGGCATATATATATACGAATGCACCACACACTCTACCATAGAAGCTAGAAATCAAGAGCTAAAGCTAGATAGCAATCACAGCGGATACCATAGACCAAACAAACAAACATTTTATAGTAAGATACCGAGAAAGCATTACAAACATAAGTTCATATGAGACAAAGTTCATAGTAGCTAGACATGCAAATCTCCCAAAAACTGCTAGCCAGATGCCCCACCTTTATATCTTTACCAGCTAAAACATAAACATTAAACCAGGGGGTTACTTTATTAAGATTGAAGCAAGCCTGTAAAAGCACACCTATTGTTACCTATAAGCTACAGCAGCTAATTGACAGTCCTTAGTGATGGTTTGGCTTCTCCAGGTCCTCAATATTTGTGGGGCGGAACCAGGCCTTTTCCTCCAGGACCGAGTTCACGCCGCCGTTGGCAAGGGAGGAGCTCAAGCCCTGCTCCCCACCTTCAGATGCTTTAAGCTCGGTGGCAGGGCCAAACACCCCAGTCTGCGGGTGTGGTGCCCAGTACTTGTCTGATTGAGGCTCAATCACATCATCAGGAACTGCAGCTGGATGGACATGATCATCCGGGTTCTTGTCATATGCTGATGAGTTAGTACTCCTGCATATATGATAATCATTTACATGATCAAAGATTGGTTTCAATATTAACTAATAAAATCCTTGAAAATTTATTTATCTTTCGTGTTTTATTATTTGAAACTAATAAGATAAACATTACATTAATTAAAAAATTTATAATTCAAATATTATATTATAATTTAAAAATTAATCATAACATTAGCCGATCTTATTTTAATCAAGGATCCGATCATGGGTGCTTCTGACTACTGATTAAAATACTTTAAATAAAAAAATCTTAATCAGTAAATATGGTACATATAATGTTTTGTTAATTACAAGTTGTCTAAATTGCAGAAAGAAGTATGTGGGTAGATGTGCAACTATTGTGGCAGATTGTGATAGCCACAAAGAGTTGGTGAACCACGTGACCACCAGCATATGACTCAATCGGATAACAACTTCCCCCAATCCACCAATCGTTTTCTTTTCTTTTTTTTCATTTAATGATATTTTAATTTTTTGAATAAAACATTTATAATGCTTTACACTCCCAAAAAAAAAAGTCAGACGGCCATTAATTACATAATTTATTGATAAAATAATACATTTTAATTTTAATAATCATAATTTAATTTTTAACAACTTCAATTTTAAAAAATAAAAACTTACAAACCAAGCGTTGAAAATCTTAAATAAATATTATATAAATTACAATGAACGGCTGTGACCCGCCCGTTGATGTCACATGGCCAATCTCAGCCATCCAACTTAACTTACACGCCTACCAATCAACAAGTCAACATTTCAGAAATTGGGGGCTAAAATTTCATACAATTATTATCATCATTAATTGAAAAATAAAACTCAACAGAGAGGGAATAGAAAAATTAAATTAATTTCTTCAAATTTCATTGTGAGTACAAATCTTTTAAAAATATCATATGAAGCATTTGAATTAAATATCTTATTCGTAGTCTTAATCCAAATACAACGTAATTTTTATAAAATTAAAATAATTTTATTCCTAAGAAAAGAAAAAAAAAAAAACTTAATTTTCACCAAAGCTCCAAAAAAAGAAAAAAAAAAGGAAGTCGTTGCGTAAAAAACAATGAGTGTTCCCCAAAAAAGACAGGTGTCCAATAGGAGATAAAAGGCAATTGCGTCTTATCCGGTTGTTCCTTCCCCTGCCCCACACTCCCTCAACTCCGCCGAGTACGGCATTTCTACTCTGTACGAGATTTTTCGATTAAAGCGATAAACAGATCGAAACTTTTCTTTTAAGCAATAAGGACCTTTTTTTTTTTTTTTTTTCCTATTTTTCTGTTTCTTGATAAAAAAATTATTTTATTCACCATACTATGACGCAAAAATTACAAGGCTAAATCTCAATTTAATTTAATACCTAGAATTAAAAAAGGCAAAAAATAAAATCCAAAACAAAAATTAAAAGGCTAAATCTTAATTTAGTTTCTAAACCCAACCCAAAAAAAAAAAATGGCCATGACTGAAAACATGAGGTTATCAAGAAACAAGAGAAAACGGTAAAGCAAATGAAGGAAAATTAAAGGGAAGCAAGAAAGAACCTGATAGTGAAAGCAGCAGCGGGAGAGGGAGAGGCCGTAGCGTTGGAGAGGGTTGGGTGGCGAGTGAAGGTGCGGTTAAGAAGTCGCTTCCCCAAGCTGGCGATGCTTCCACCACTCGTCCAATTGGCTGCCATACAAGTGCCGAAAGACCAACTACAAAGGGGAGAGAAAAGGGAGAGGAAAAGAAACAAAGGTGATGAGAAAATGGTTAGATTTTCCTTTTAGTTCCAACAACTACAGCGGGGCGTTTATATAATTAAAGAGAGAAAAGAGTTGAGTAGAAGAATCATGCCGACACTGACTCACTTCATTCGCTCTTAACTGCCTAACACGGCACCTAACTCCCCACACAAACGAACCGTTTTCTTTCTTTCAACCGTTATAACGGAAATTTTGTATAACTGCTGACGTTTGGCCTTTTACAGAAAGTACTTTGTTTTTTTTTTTGGTAAAATTTTTTTAGGGATCTTAAATGCTTTTATGCGGATTTAGGATGGAATATTCTGGCTGGCTGTTGACTGCCGGATAACGTGCTGTTATTTGACGGTGTTAATCGCTGGTTAATGGTAACCGTGTTTATTGAAATGACGGTTTTGTCCTTCAAAGGATGAGAAATTTGTACTTTGGCAGGTACGGTTTGTGAAATGCGCCCGAGTTTAACTTGGGCATCGGTGGAATATTCAAATGTCGTAAAGCGATGGGCGGATTTCGTGGAGATTTGGATAAATGAATTTCCATTTTCATTTGACATTTTTCTTTGGCCAACCTTTTTCATCGTACTTCGCCTTTGGGTTTTAATTTAGTAAGATATTTTTGAAATAATTCGATTTTATAAAAATTTCCAAGATGACAACGGACCAACTCAAGGACCTTGGCTACCGGCAACAATAAGTAGGATACCACGTTTTTATTTTTATAATTTAAACTAAAAATAAAAAGTTTTGCAAGAGATACCTAAACTATAAGTTAATGGCACGTGTCATGTTAGTAATTAATTTAATTTTTTTATAAAAATCATAATTTTAAAGTAAAAATTATAAATATTAAATATTAAATTTTTAATTTATTAAATATTATTTTTTTAAAAATAATTATATAAATGCCTTCCTTGTTACATGTGAACCGAAAGTCAGTCCGTTAAAAAATTAAAAAAAAAAAAAGGTCGACCGAAGTGGCATGCTTCAAGCCCTTAACCTCTAACGTGGGAATGGAAGCCTAATATTATAAATAAAACATGGTTGGCCAGGAAAGTATGCTCCATGCCTTCAACAAAAGGCAGATCCAAGGATTTAAATAAAAGTTTAAAAATTTATTTTGAAATAAATTAAATATTAAATATTTATTTTTGTGTGAATTAAAGACTAAATTATTTAAATATAATAAAAATATAAAAAATTATTTAAATAAAATTATAAAATTGAGCGATTTCTTCATTATTTTAACCTTAAAAGTTCCGGGAATAGCTCCATATAGTAAATTTCTCAAATTGGTTCTTATTTTTTTCTTTATAAATTTTACCGTTCATATAATCTCATTAATAAAAAGTTATGGTACGTCATTGTGAAGGTAATTTAATTTAGTTAGAAAGTGACACTTACATTAATTAATTTCGAATGTTAATTTAAGTTGTTAGATTAGAGCCCAGGTATCATCAGTCTCTTTGTGTTATTAGGTTTTGTGGCATTCTTTCATATTTTGCCAATTACAATGAACGTTTACATGACAATCTTTGTTGACTCTAATTTTTCTCAACTTGCATGGCCATGAAAAGAATACTAAAATATATTTTGGCTTTTTTATAGAAATTCTGAAAGCATAAAAAAGGAAATTCTATAAAAAAAAATGTAAATGAAGTTTGAAATAATTGGCTAAAATAACCAAAAAGAAAAAAAACTTTTAAACTTTATTATTTTATTTAGTTAAGTCCTTATATTTTGATTATATTTAAATAAATCTTTAGCTTTTAATTTACATATAAATAAAATTTTAACCTCTAATTTGTATTCAAATAAATTCTTAACTTTTAATTTGTATTAGAGCTGTTTAAAAGTCAAATTACCCTCTTAAGCCCGAAGATTGACCTATGTTTTGGAAGGGTTTCAATAAAAATTTAAAACCCATTAAATGATTTTAGGCACAATTTTTAGATCTATTTAAATTTTGGATTGAATTTTAAACAAAAAATTTAAAGTCTGAACCTGACTCGGCACAATCTAAATTTATATATATTTTTTATTTTTGTATATATGTTAATTATATATAAAATAATTCACACATATATAAATTAAAAATAAAATATATATTTTATTAACTTAATTTTAATTTTTAATTTTTATAGATATAATTTTTATTTTTAATTTTATATATATGTGAATTGAATATAATTTTATTAAACTAAAGTTTTATCATTTTTATTTTTTTGTTATATAAATTAAGTTTAATGGATGGATTAAAAATTTTTTTTAATTTGAGTTGGGTTATAGAAAATTTTGAGTTTTGAAATTTTGAATCGGATCAAATTTAGATAAGTATATAAACTATTAAATATCAAACATCAACCCAAACTGAATCCGATCTATCCATGAATATTTTTAATTTGTATTTAAACAAATTTTTTACATTAACTAATCATTCGTTTGAAATAAAAGCTTATACAATTACAAATCAAAATATAAGAATTTATTTAAATACAATAAAAATATATATTTATTGAAGGAAAATTAAATAATCCAAGAGCCCTTTTTAATATTTTAACCTTTATTATTTTTTAAAATTGTTTGAATATAATTCATGATAATCATAGATAACAAACTTGGAACATCAAGATCATTTGCTCTAAAATGATTGATGCATAAAATAATAGATAGGATAAAATGATAATTAATTTATATCTAAAAAAAGAGATAACATTGTAAAGAGAATGAATTATCCTCTTGGTATAAGATGATTCAATCCTCTCAAATGATTATTTTTAATTTATGTGATTAAATTTACGAGTTCTATTATGCTCTTAAAAAATTACATTAATAATTTAAATTGTATGGATAACTTTAACCAATAAATAAATTATTTTATTTTAATTCTTAAATATATAAAATATAAGATAAAATGACATTATTTAATATAATTCTATTTATAATATCTTTTTATTCTATCATATTATAATTTTATACTCCAAACACATCCATAGATGGTACTTAGATAAGGGATGAATAGAAATTTTATAAAGAATTGAAGATATATTATTCTTAATTGCAACAAACTTGAAATTACAGGAATTTAAGTAAATAATAGAAATTACCAAGTAATCGATGTTGGGAGAGGTAGAAAGGGCATTGCATATACGGTGGTTCGGCCTTTAACCTGTATCTACTACCGTAATAGTCGTTATCAATAATTTAAATTTCACTAAACCCATGGAATTAACAGCTTCACTAATCAGTTGCAAAGTAGGCTATCCCAATCTCAAAAACCATGATAAAAAAAAAAAATTTCAAACTAGTGTCATTCTCGCACTCAAAACCCAAAACAAGCTTGAACCAGTGGAATTTAATTGATTCCACTAAACCTACCCAATGAGTAACCAAAACTTACCGCCTTGGATATACTATCTCATAAATGTTTTCCAACACTCACAACTCAAACTTACAAATTTGACAAAAAAAAATGTAAATTATCACCATTTGATCTAAATACACAAGTTTAGCTCTCATTACAAAATATCAATAAAAAAACTTTTAGCCAAAAAACTTATTTCTCGATTACACCAACAGTAAAATTTTTTTAATTCCACATGCGAAATTAACAAAATGACTCATACTCCTTAAACTATTTTTTAAAAAAATAAAAAAAATAATTTAAAAAAGGCATGGGACGTGCATCCTGATTGTGGAATTAAAAGACTCCATTGACATTATATCAATAATGTTTCAAACTTCGTACTCACTTTCAATACGATAATAATATTATCTAATAATTACTTATATCCAATAGGTGGTAACTAATATTAGCTCATAGGCATGCATGTTCATCATACTTTTGAAACTTGCTAGTTCGAGAAGACGTAGACATTTAATGTCATTTTCAAGTGAGTTAAAAAGATAAAGATTATGGATTAAGGGTACATTAAGAATTTAAAAAAAAAAAATTATGCAGAGTGGGTCATCTTTGAATAAACTGCTCCCACTAAAATATAGTTAACAACCAAAAACTTATCAAATGTAAACTAATGTCCATTTACATAATGGTTGAGTTTTAACATCAAAGGAGCAAAAGAGATGAAAAGCAAAGCAACACAAATATGTACAAATGCACACACCCGTGTGCTAAGAATTTCCATAGAGTGATCACTGACATCAAAAGGCCGCCTTGTTTTCCCTCTTCACCTATTGAAATCGACTAATTCATTATATATATCCTACGCTGTATATATTTTTTAACATATCAATCATCAGACTACTCTTTAAATCACAACATAGATACGAGTAAGTGTATGATAAACAACCTGTCCTGCAGGAAAGACTAAAGGAAAAGGGAGGTCACAATGACACAACCCTAGCAATTTTGAAATATGAAATCAAACGAAATTTTTAAGTTTCATACTGGAGGTAGAAACTAAAATCCACAACAGAATTGATGTCAAGTTATATGAGTGTCATAAGAAGAAATAAGAGCAGCCATCAAAAACAACTTCCCTAGACAATCCGCTCCAACTCCCTTGCATAACTAAGTGTTTGGTTGATCAGTTGTAGTGATGGAATCTCCTTACATGGTGCAGATTCTTTTGCCTTCTGGAAAAAGACGAATCCATTCTTCACCTCCCACTCAGGATGCTCCTGCAATCAAGGGAACAGGTCCAAGTAAGCTTGGTATGCCAAAGCCTTTGACAATGTCTTTAAATGTCTGTTACACAGATGCTTACCTCTCGGATGCATTGCAAAAGTTCTTGATCAGATGAGAACAGTAACATCCGCTGAGCATCATTAATTGAAAGATAGTCATATGCCTTCTCACTGCATCCAGCTATTTCATCTCTGACAGCAACAAGTTATCACTAAACTATTGAGGATTGAGCAACGAACAAGAATACATGATAGAGCAGATTCTATCACTTAAAAAGAAGCATATTAATATTGAAGTGCCACAAGTAAGGAACTTTGAGATGGTGGTCAAAAAAGGTAGTGCCACCAGCACTGATGTAATCAAGTCATTAAATGAACTTAGGTTCAACATAATTGCGGACACAACCAAAATTTAAATGACAGTTGGCCATGTTTTTATTTTCTTATCCCCAAACTATCATCATACACCAAAGACAATTGCTTACCTCACTGTCTTTGCCAAGAGATCCATGAAATAAACATAAGTTTCATGAGGAGCAGTCTGTCTAGCATTCAACACACGATTGTAAGCCCCTTCCATAAATGATTGCTCCAGCTCCACAGCATGCTTGATGCAAGGATTCTCCAGAGCAGTGGCTGAAAGCAGTTCCAGTTCGGTATGAAACTCAGCAATTCTGTTCTGGACTAGAAGTCTCAAGAGATTAAGACCTAAAATTGGGTACTCTTGAAGGGATGGTGGAAGACGGCTACTGCTCCATCAAAAGAAAAGTAAAATAATTACCATCAATTCCCTAAAATAAATGATACAGGCTTCTACATAAGAAATTAGTTAACATACACGAGAACACACATTGTAAGGAATGGAAGTTTACTTAAGAGAATTGGTTTAAATTGCAGAAGTAGAACAAATCCAATTTACCAACATGCTCATACAATTTATAACATCCGTTTTAATTTCTTTACATATTAAAAATCTTATAAAAAGAAAGGAGATTGCTCATCAAAATCCTTAGCCGTGAATCACATATAGAAGCATGGAACCTACTCTTGAACTTTGGATCAACATAACTAGTTATATAGTGATGTGGCAAAAGTTAAACTAAACATGGAAATATCAATCAGGAAATATTTAGAAGAGGGTAAAAATGGAATTCCAATACAGTACATCCTAGATAATCTGAAGTGTCAAAGACATCCTTTACATATTTTTCCCAAAACTTTAATAAATGTGCAGGAGTTGGAAGCATAGAATTTGAAAAGTGAACAACAAACTTAATGAGGGTCCTGCAGACAAGTTCAGAAAATAGGCAATAAGTCATACTATTATTCTTCATAACACTTGGCAACATTATTAGCTGCTTGTGTCTAGCAGATTCATTGACCGACCAAAATGGCTATTCTCACGGTAGTCAATGTTGATCAGATCCAGTAGATACTACCTTAATATTAACATTTACAAGCAGCATATTCCCTTAATTCCATTAAAGAAGATGCTAGCCATCACAAATATCTTTGATAATATATACGCTTGTAGGGCATTCTTAAATTTCACTCCAAAATAATTGAACATGCACATGAAAAAGTTCTTCAATTTTCTCTCCGTCATCAATTTCACACAATTCAGACCTACAAGTCCTTTTGGATTATATACACCTTCTACCTTGATGTTTCTAGCTAGACGAATTGTTATCCATCTTTTATGAATCGTTATGCAGGGTTTTACAGAATGCACCTCTTATACATTCATCTACCTTAGACACCTAGAGAGAAAAGGGAGGAAATTACATCAACAACAACAAGAAGAAAACTAAGCCTGGATAGAAAATTATACATACAGGACAATAGCTATACTAAGGACACAAGACATAATTTCCGGACTAATAAAAGACAAGCAACTAACCTAGCATCTGTATAATAGGGCTTCAACTGGAAGAAATCCCTCTCAAAGGCATCTTGATCCTCAGTCATCACACTGAGGACAACAGCATGCTCATAAATTTCCCCTGAAATAGTCAGTGAAAGAAAAAAGAAGTAAACAACTGATAATTATAATTTCAAACAATTAGAGACTTAAATTCTTATTTCTGTTCAAATGGGTTAAAACAGAATAGCTGAAACACACTCGAATTATTAACCAGGAGGCTTAATGATCCCAACAAAGAAAGAAACAAATTTGCATGCTCCAAATCATATTTGAGATTTAGCAATGGCTTCATAGTAGTCCTCACCATTAACCAGGTTACATTTAGTTCTTGCACATGAAGCTTCAATTAAAAAGTTACAATACATATAGCATTCCTCAATACATGCAAAAGCTAGTGCTTCAATTAAATACGGACTAATATACAAATGACAAATAAAAAGGGAAAACCATTCAATTTAGTCAAAAGAATTACTTGCTAACAGCAATTCATTAACCGCATTAGGCGTATTTTCGAATAAAGGAGGAAGGCTCCTGAAATTTGTCAGCAACACCTGCAACAATAAACCCAAATTACTCCAGCAGCATTTGGATATCAAAATTTTTGACAAATAACGAAAAGTACTACCTAGCAAAAAAATAATAATAATAAAGGAAGAACTTCTTTTTATTGCCTTCATCTAGTTCCAACCAAATCAATTTAATCGATCCAGTTTTCAAGCATAAAGAATGCTCATTTATAATTGAAACATCCAACACAAAACCCCTAAATTCCTAAACCCTTAAAAATAATCTCCTACAACACGGGCTCGATCTTTTCGAGATGAAGGAAAGTGGAAAACCCTAGAATTTTTCCCGATAGAGAGAAAAAGAGAGAGAGAGATTAGGATCTGAACAAGTTTAAAGACCTTGAGCTGAGAAAGGAGATTGGCGCAGGAATCGTAATCTTTTCTAATAAATGCAGCTTTGAATCGCTCGAATAGCTGCGACACTTCGGTTAGTTGTGGATCCATCTCTCCTTTCGCGAGCTTTCGTGTTGCTGAAACAATTGAAACTCTTTTTCTAATTTTTTCTACTTACTGGCTAAAGCAAAACATACATGGGAACTTTGGTTCGGGGAAAGGCGTCTGAAAAAATGAAAAAAATAAAAATAAAAAGAAAAAAATAACATAGCATAAAAATAATTTTATTAAATAAAAAATAAAATAAAAATGTGAGATAAAAATATACTCTTAATTAAATAAAATAAATATATGATTAAATAATATATTTAAAATACTTAATTATTATATAATTGATAAAACCATGTATCAATTTTTAAGCCTTTAGGTATTTTAAAAAAAATTTATTAAAGGTTAAAAAAAAAAAAACAGAAGCTAAATAAGAAAGAGATGGGGAGGTAAAATGAAGACAAACCTTTAGGAAGGAAATTAAAAAATAAAAAAAGGTAAAGCTAATGTATATTTGAAATTAAATAGAAATTTACACATTTTAGTTTTATTTATAGAAAGTATATGTAAATTATTATATTGTATTAAAACAAAAAGTGTGACTTCTATATGATAGAGCATAATTATGGTAATTAAAATTTGTTAATCAATTATAAAAAATATTATAATGGCATAATGTAAATATATATAAGTAAGGTTTCATTTGCACTAGTGAAATTCTTATTTTTTTTTTAATTTTTGGATCAAAATTATTAAATTTTAAAATATTATTTTGATTTAAATAATTCATAAATTTAATTTTAATCCAAGAATCCAAAAAAATGTAAGAGTTATACTAATGTAACTGAACCCTTTTTCATATATATATATTTGTATATATATATATGTATATATACATATGTATTTAAATTTAATTTTGATCTAGGGTTAAAAAAATTGTAAGAATTACATTAATATAAATGGTTTCCTCTTCATATATATATATATTTGGACAAATTGCAAGATTAATCATTAAATTTTTTTGGCAATTTTATTTTTATCATTGAATTATGAAAATTTACAGTTGCGTCCCTAATGTTTATAAAATTGTTTTTTCAGTCATCAAATTGATGAGACTATTGACATGCTACTGTGGCATTAATATATCATCTATCATTTGTCACATGCATTATCAAATAATTTGATTTGTCATATAACATTATCGACATCATATTATAAATTTTGAAAAAAATGGATATGAAAAAAATAAATTATATTTTTTATTATTTAAAATTTTGAAAATTTTTATTTTAGTTTCTCAATTTTGAGAATTCCACAAATCAATTACTAACGTATGTGAAAATTGATATAATAAATTATTTTATTATTTGTTTTATCTATCTGAAATATTTTGAGATAATACTAAAATAAACTCTTGAATTTTATAAAAAATAGAAATAAATTTTTCATATTTGATTGCATAAAATTAAGATTATGAAGTTTTATTTGGTTATAATTAAAATCTTGACTTCTAATTTCATAAATGTCATTGATCAAATTATTACATTTTATAACTAGATGACCAAACTGAAAACACACAAAAACTTCAAAGGTTAATCTTGCAATTTATCCTATGTATATTATATACCAAAATAAATTAGGATAACTTTTTTAAAGAAAAGAAAAATACAGAGTGGTGATTTGTGGAATCAAGGCAGTGTGGCCTGGCGGGGGCGTGTGGCTCTCAGCATGTACCTTGCCTTTTACTGCCACTAAAAGGTTATCTGGTGATGCACTCCTCTCGTATCCGCACAACTTCAACAACACCAAAGCAGCCACGCCTCATCGCTCACTTAACTCAACAGTAAATAAACTCAAATCCATTGATCGAAACCCTCTGGCTTTTTGTTCGTGCATGTATAGAAAACCACATTTCAAGGCCTGTCTCTTCAAGAGGCCAAAAGGGGTGTCTCAGACTTCTTCCTAGCTGAGAAAAAGAGCAGTTTCAGTTCCAGTCATGCAAGAAGAGGACTTGTGATCACTGCAAGAACTGCTGGTGCTTCAAAAACTATAGAGGTTGAGGTCGACAAGCCTCTAGGCTTGACATTAGGCCAAAAGAAAGGAGGTGGTGTAGTTATCACTGTAGGTGTCGATTCTCCTTCTATCATTGATATGAATTTTGTGACTATTTTGGAGGTTTTTTTTTTTTTTTTTTCAATTAACTGTGGTTTTTGAAATGGAAATGATATAGGCTGTTGATGGAGGTGGGAATGCAGCAAAAGCAGGGCTTAAAGCAGGGGATCAGGTGCTTTACACAAGCAGTTTCTTTGGGGATGAACTTTGGCCTGCAGATAAGCTTGGATTTACCAAAACTGCCATACAGGCAAAGCCAGATTCTGTCTACTTTGTTGTTAGCAGGTTTTTGCATTTTTATCTAAATTTAACTTATTTGCTTTTATTTTTCACATCCTGTTATTGTATTAGTTGCATAATTTTGATGATTAGTATAGGAGGAAAATTTGTTGATAATTTTATATTAAATCATTATTAGGCAAAGTGGAATATTTCTTCTTTGTTGTGGGTTAATGGATCATAAATAAAATGTCATATTTGTAGACAAGGACTTTAGTTATTTGTGTTCCTGGTTCTGAATCAGTCATTTCATATAGCGTTTGCATGAAAAAGGTAGACCTGACAATTCGTATATCTGTGTCATGTTTATTTATGTCAAACACGATTAAAACATAACTATTTACATCGACACACCAAACACAAACATATTTTTGGATTTTAACAAACCATATATGTTTTTGGTCAAAAATTTTGAACCGTATTACTTTTATGTCTTTTTATTGTCTCGTTTTCATGTCGTGCCTAAAATTGCCAGGTTTAAAAAAAAGCAGGCAGGAGAATTAGTGTATTGATGCAAATAAAAATATACTGGTAGTGTATATATTTTTCTTTTGCACTTTTGAGTTTTGACCATTCGGTTACTTTTGTATTAATCAAGAAAAAGAGGGGAACTTGTCAAAGGACTAAGACAAACAAGGGTCCTTTTTCTTCTGTTTCTTCTTTTGTTGCCCCAGTGGCAATATTTCTGCTAAACTTCCTCTAGGATTGTTTTTTCTTGAAGAAAATATGAATGCTTTGCCAAGTACAAGATATACAATGACCAGTCATGTTCCTTTAAAAGGAGACTAATTTGAGTTTGTGCTTATTTCTTCTTCAAAAATAGAGTGATAGAACATATTTCTCCTTTCTAGATGAATGTGTCTCGTTGCTCATGTTTCTTACTTGTTAGGCTTTTCACTTATCAGTTACCAATGCTTGTTTTTTGATAGTTTGCCCCTTGTATGCCAGCAAAAATGCCAACTGGTTATATCCGGTTACTGGAACAAAATGATATAATGTACTATCATTTGCAATGGCTTCAACTTGATAGAGCTGATGTCTTTTTGGTGATATTTACGACAGTATCAGATGAACATCAAGTATATATTGCATACTTAAATTTGTAGTAATTCTCTGCGAATCCACCATGACCATCTACCCTTTGAAAATACTTTTCAGAAGCCCAAACAGTTGTGGAACATCAAAAAGGAAAATAAAAATGAATTGCTCATTGTTTAACATAACAAGTTTAGGCAGTGAACATGACTTTTCTGTTTTTCTTTCCAAAAATTAAAAAAAAAAATCAATAAAATATTTTAGAACATTTTGAGACCTATGGGCCTCTATGGCAAAGCAATACTTATTCATAACATATTCTATACGATGCTTTTGAAGCATGGATTAAGAATTAGCAACAAAGATTCAGTGTTTCACTTAATCTTCTCTTACATAACAGTTGAAAACTTTAGAATAAGGTATCATTTGAAAACCATGTAACCTCATTTTCAATTCAATGTATATTGTGAACTGTAATTATTTTGGTTAAAATATATAATTATATGAACAAATCTAACATAATTTAGAGGCATAAATAACTGAGAGCATTGATCACTCAGGTTGTGCCTATGTCAAAATGCATTTCACTAACGCCTATGATAGCATCTTGGGATGCAGTGACTGCTGTCTGTAGTTGTAGATACTCCAGTAACTGTAGACACGTTACAAGAGGACGAATCCCTCATATAGTATGACAATTTAGTAGATTAAGGGATAAGAATTATGTGAATAGGACATTGAAATTACATTCTTAGAATATAGCAGAAGTGCCAAACTGCATCAATTAGCCTGTAGACATGTAATGGCTTCGCTAAATTGAGCTACAAGTCTGCAAATTCTTCGGTTTATTGTTTGATAATTGTTACTTCTGCTATGCTTTGAGCATGCAAATACTATCTCATTTTACAGATGTAATATAGAAAATTAAATAAAATTAAAAATTTGTGCAGATATGATATAGAAAAATATAGTTCTCTCTTTTAAGGCCAGAAAAAAAAGGAAATGTAGGTGTTTTTTAGCATTTTTTATATATTTATGTTTTGAAGTTTATAAATCATCTTCTGACAGAAACTCCAGTGTGCTACCCTGGTCTTTTCTGCTTAAAAATTTTATAAACTAACTTGAAAAAAGGAAAGATGAAGACGGGAGCGTATTTGACATGAAAAATTATCATGCATCAGTTACTTTGAGTTAATGCGATTGTTTTTAGTTAAATATCCCATTTTCCCAGTAATTTGGCAGTAATCAAACTCCTTTTCCTATATGTTTACTGTATTTCTTTACCAGTATGAAAATAATGAGAAGAAACTCCTTTGCCTAATATGTTTACTGTATTTCTTTACGATTTGATGCAGAGGAGCAGAAGCCGATGTTAAACGACTAACAAAGCGACCAGCACCTCCTCGCTTTGGAAGGAAATTGACTGAGGCTCAAAAGGCAAACATAGCTTTGGCCAATTAATATTCTACTTCACTTTTGGATAAAGATATACATACTCAGATACATTTGTGTGTGTATTTAATGAGATTAGTTATGCATGAAAACTAATAGCATGCAGAATTTTGCAGGCAAGAGCTACTCATATTTGCCTTGATTGTGGATACATATACACTGCACAAAAACCTTTTGATGAGCAGGCAAGTTTCTATACAGTTTCACAGCAAAAATTAAACTTGGTTTATGGATGCTTTTCACTGGACCTGGCAATATATGTATTTATATCATGTTCGTGTCATGTCAAACGTACTTAAAACAAAAAAAAATTGTCATGTTAATTCATGTCACACTCCAAACACAAAACCGCATTTTTTGCATTTTGCCAAACTCATACATTTTCGCTAAAACTATTAACTATAGTCTTTTGTTTTATTTTTGTATCGTGTCTAAAATTGTCAGGTTTATTATTCACCTCAAATCATCTGCATATATTTTTGTGAAAAAGAGATTTTAAAATATCGTCATCTTTAATTTGCTGTAGCCTGATACGTATGCATGCCCTCAATGTCGAGCACCAAAGAAGAGATTTGCTCAATACGACGTAAATACAGGCAAAGCTGTTGGTGGAGGGTTACCTCCAATTGGGGTTATTATAGGGCTGATGGCTGGTGTTGGAGCTGTTGGAGCTTTACTTGTTTATGGCCTCCAATGAAACTTCATTTGTTACCTTCAAACTCTGTTTATTCTATACTCTCATAGAATCGGTGGTGCAAGTATGAATTTTGATTTCCCTATCAAATAAGGATTTTTCTTATTAGAAACAGAGGAATTCATGCACATAAAATGTCACAAAGCTTCTCCATTCTTTCTGTTGCTGCTGCTGAAGAAACCAAATGATATTCTTCAACATTTGTCATTTTCTTTCACATGACAAAAAAGTTTATCAAATTCAGGGTTTGACCTTTGCTGAACTGAACAAGTATAGTTAGATTATCTGCATATATATATATATATTATTGGCTTACAAACTCATTATTTATTGTCTCATTTTGAGGTTGACTCACTTTCACAAGCCAAAAACATGCTAATGCCCTGACTTGAATATTGAGTTTTGCTCAAGTGGATCATGAATCCATGGGAGCCATGCTGTTGAAACTTAGCCAAACTGATTTTAATCTAATTATATGGAGTTTTCGAGCATTTGGTTTAACGGATGATGTTTGCTTTTCTTGTTTAAAGAATTAAGTTTAAATGATCTCATTTTCAATGTAAAAAAAAGTTATATATACTGAAAATAAATAAATTGAACAATCCATACCTAGTACAATGATGGGAGTATGGATAAGAAAAAAAAAAAATCCAAAGGTTGAATTATAAAATAACAAATATGACCATAAATACAAATTATAAAATTGAAAAAAAAAATATCCTTTTTAGTTTTAAATAAGAAAAAAACTTGAATTTTCTTTCTCTTTCATTATTAAATCAATATTTAATTTATAAAAAGTGTAAAATAAAAAGCGAATTCATTGTTAATATTGAATAAAAAAATGATTATTCCAGTTATGATATATTTTAAATAAATTTTAAAAATTAATACAGTATACCATAGTACTATTATTAACAATGATAGCTTGTGTTTTAAAAAATAATGTTAGTTTGACTCAAATAAATAGTAAGGGTTGGCGATGTTAGTTTTAAACATCGCCATCAGATTCATGTATCAAATAATGCTTTTATTTTTTGCAAAAAAAAAAAAAGTAATTATTTTATTTGACCACCCTCCTTGGACAAGAAGAATTAAAGATTACATAGACATTCAAAAGGCACACGCACTGTGACACTTTAGTTTGCAGACTTTACTTCTTTATTTTTTGCTTCAGATAGAGACTTCCTTAATCCTCAGTAACTTGTCTCTCTCTCGGACAAAGAGAAAACTCTCAGTTTTCAACAAGAAAGACAGTGAAAAGAGATGGAAAGAAAGGGTTTAGTTTTATGCAGTGTTGTTGCCTTTTTGGCGGTATTAGTAGCCGCTACTGGTTTTGCTGCTGAAGCTACAAGGATCAAGGTAAATAATTTATACATGGGGCTTTGATCATATCTTCTGTTGTGGGTTTCTTTTAAATTCTTGTTTGCTTTTATTATTTTCTATCATTTTCTTTACAACTACCCTCTGCTTGGGTGATTAAAAAAAAACTATGCAAAAGAGCACAAACTGTTACTTTGAAAAATGAATAAAAATCTGTTGCTTTTTTTTTTTTTCCTTTTATGTATGTAGTAGGGCTGAAAAATGAAATTTGACTTAAAGAAAGCATAGTTTTAGTGGTTTCAATGGTTTTTTTTAGAAGATCTTAATTTTTTCATGCTTGAATTTACTTGTAATTTCTTGTTTATTTTATAAATTTTTGTGGAAATTGGAAAAAAGGAGATAACCTTGCTTCTTTGGGACCCCAAAGTAAGCAGAGGCATGAGTTTAACTGTTCCAACTTATCCAACATTATGTTAAGTGTTTTTTTGTTAGGGTTTTTTTTTTCTTTCACCAGAGTCCTTCTGGAGGGATGAATGTATGGAAACAGAACATAAAAAAGCCAGATTCTCAATCAAATCCACAATGACGTAGAAATTTAATGTACTTTAGAGTTAGTACTGTTGAAAAAGTAATGTAAGAGAGAAATTATTATAGACCGGATTGGCATTTGGAATATTTGGTGCTTCATTGGTCCTGCTACTAGTGTAATTTTGACATATAGAATTTGAAGTCATTAGCCTCATCAATTAATGGGAGATTTTCCAACAATGTTCTGACAAGTTGCTTTATCGTTTTGAGTTATTTTTAGTCATCCTGGCATATAGAATGAATATTGATTTAAATCACTTTCATGTTATACTGGTTTAAGTTTGGTTTTGTGCTTGGCTTTTAAGTTGATTTTGCTTAAATTCTTGCAACAAGTGTTCATTTGATTAGTCAGTTTTGGTCTTTTTTGCACCTCGAAATCAAATTAGTTGAAGAAGGGCTTCTAGCCACGAAATCAATTTAGTTGTCTCCATTGTCACTGTGTTCTACCATTGTTATCTGGAGCACTATTATTTCATTTCAATGCCTATTGCATTAAAATTTTTTGGGCTGATGCTTTACACTCATGCTTCCATGCTATTTTTGGAAGCCTGAGCTAAATTGTTAAAAACCTGAATCCATGATGTTGACAGCATTATGCTACTAAAGACAAGTAAATATTGAACAATTTGAATGCGGGATTTATTTTGATATTCTAATACATATTTTGATATGTTGTCAAATAATGTTCCATGCATTAGGTAAGTTTACTTGAAATGGTTTTTTTGAAATTCTTGTGATTTCCAACTCTTCCTTTTTCTCTCTTATAGGCTTCAGAAGTTAAATTTGTCTCCACTACACAATGTTCTTATCCCCGGAGTCCTGCACTTGGCCTCGGCTTAACTGCAGCAGCAGCGCTCCTGATAGCTCAAATAATTATTAATTTTGCAACTGGGTGTATTTGCTGCAAAAGAAACCCTCAAACTTGGAACTCTAACTGGACAAAAGCTCTTGTCTTTTATGTTGTTTCTTGGTAATTCTTGAACACAACTTGTAGTTAAAACTTTTTTCCTGATTTTTTGGCATTATATGTTTTTCTTGAAAAGAAATGCCTGAATTCATGTGAACTTAAAAGGGGGCAGATGTGTTTTACTTGATGATACGGTGTGATTAGTCCAGCTTAGGCATAATAGTTGAAGATAGAGAATACTTGGTGATGTAGATATTGCTTTTGTTTTGTTTATAGGTTGGTTGTTGCTTGCAGTGTGCCAACTTTCTCTTTTGGGTAATTAATGAAATGCTTATTGAGCCAGGAGAAACAGAACTTGTTTCTTGACATTCACTTTCATTTTAACATTTCGTAATAATTATATTGGTTGACAATATGCGCATTGATTCCATGTTCATGCAGGTTCACATTTGTTATAGCTTTCCTTCTCTTGCTAACTGGTTCTGCACTCAATGATCAACATGGTGAAGAGAGTGTGTACTTTGGCAACTACTACTGCTATGTCGTGAAACCTGGAGTCTTTGCTGGGGGAGCTGTCTTAGCCGTTGCGAGTGTCATTTTCGGAATCTTCTATTATCTCTCCTTAAACATGGCTAAGAATGCAACCGGTCCTTGGGGCAATGCACCTATTCCTAATCAAGGTGGCATAGCCATGGGACAACCTCAGTTCCCACCCCAGAGCTCTCAAGATCCTGTATTTGTACATGAAGATACTTATAACAGGCGGCAGTTCACTTGATGAGAAAATTACCCAACGAAACACATGCAGGATTATCTCCTGGTGTTTTAGGCAGTTTGGCTCCTGTTGGTCTTGAAATCAGTTTCGTTTTTTGCATTGCGGGTACTCGCCGCATCCAAAGGGAGCAAGATGGTATTGGTAGTATGGGACCGGGATCCAGCTTTATTGAATTGTGAAAGTTCTTTTCTTTCTTTCCTTTATTTTTTTTTTTGGGTCGGGGGCCGGGGGGAGGAGGGGGTGTGTGTTACGGTGGTTAAGGTGTCTTTGTATAGTGTATATGAAACTTTCTTGCTTATCGGATTTTGGGTCATATCTGCTTAAATGAGTAGTGTTGCCATCTTATCTTTGATGTGCTTGTTGTTAATGAGACAAAAAAGGACCATTGCGAGCAACCCACTTTCAGAAAGAAAGAACTGTACACATCTCAGAAAGAAAGGTCAAAGTGAAAAAGACATACTGAAGTTAATCACCAATTCCGGCTGCTATCATTTTTGTCCTGTCATAGGTAATGCAGAGGATGTAATTGAATTCAGTCCATACAATGAAAAGTTTGAATTTAACTCAAACTCGAGGCTTCAAGTTTTATTCGAGCTACATCTACATCTACGTTTACCTTTTATGTTTTAACATTCAAATATGGCTTAGTACATTCTATGAAATTATAAATGTTAACATTAAATATTATATTTTTATTATTTATTTATATATGTATTAAATATGTTAAAAAAATGGAAACTCACGAGTCTCATGAATTGCATATTATACTACTCAAATTTAATTCAACTCGTTACTCAAATAATTTGAGCTCATTATCAACTTGATAATTAATCAGTTGAAACTTTTTTTTAGTCAAATCCAAGTTACAAAGATCTCGACTCCCTTACATCCCTAGCAATGGCCATAAAATGTCCAACTTTAAAGTCAAAATCTACGTCCACCGGTAAAACTAGACTTCCATTTCCTGACTGCTCAATCAAGAGTAAAAAATTAGAACTTTACTGTGGTATTTAGAATAAAGGAATAGGTTGGCCTGTGGAAACCAGATACACATTTATGCAAATTCCAAACTGTCTGCTTCTGGCATAATTTCTCATTACCCGTTTGCTACCTTACATTACTTTTCTTCCCTTGATTCCTCACAAACAGATTTCCAGTAAACATGAAAGCCTAAAAACGCTATAAGCAATGAATTGGTTCATCAAATTATGACTGAGTTTCTATGCTGATTACCTGGTTGATCTAATTATTGGAACGAAGGCGGGCACCTCATCTTGACAATGCTGACAATGGAGTGTCGGTGGGAATGCTTTTTGTCAAAAAGAGGAAACTGGCAATGCTTATTTTGCTGACAGTATTAATGTTTCGTTGTATCAATGTACAATGTAATCTATGATGGATCTCTTACTGTATCACTACCGGAGAGAATCACTTTACTAGCTGCTTTTGATGCTGGCCTATTGATCTTTTCAAGTAACCTACTGAATACTAGTTTGACAGGTATGCAAGCCACTGTTGTGGGTGGTCCAGATGACTCTGGTTTGATTAATCCATCCATTTCACAGTTACTGCTATCATGTATAGGCTTAGAACTGAGATTATGTTCTATACCAATTGATGACAGAGTTCTTGTTTTCTGGCTAGAAGATAAGCTTACTTTCTTTGGTAACTTTCTTTGGAACTTCCTGTCAGTGGGAGAGCGCGGAACATGACAGGTGCTCTTTTTAACCAGCCCTGCCTTGTAATTGGAACTTTCTCCATTGTATTTCTTGAAAGGTGGTTTTCCTTCATGATCCAAAGAATGATATTCAGCAGCTTCATAACTACCCAATGCACATGGTGGCTGAGGACGTGGGACCCTAAAATTGGTCCTCTTGGCAGTCCTCCATGCTGGAGGAAGTGGAATATTTCCATCATGGTTTATTTGTCCATTGCTGAAATAACCACTAGTGGGGAGAAGGGTCTCAGTTGAACCATCTTCTAGGGTTTCAATTTGAATGGGATGGCCTATTATTGCCTTCCCATCCAACTTGCTCATCAATGAAACAATTGGTACGGGTTCTTTCTGATAGCCTGCTTGGACTTTCAAATCCACATCTATCAACATAGATCTTCTCTTCCCACCAAAATGACGATGGGCAGCAAATATCGGATCAAAGTGCAACACATTGTCTTCCCACTCTCTTTTCAAAACAGCATGGTTCTCCCAAGGCATGCCTTTCCAATTAATGATGTTACGATTGAAAATATTCCTACTTCTGGATGAATCCCTTTGTGTATGCAAATATCCTCTATCATCAAAACCAACCATTTGGGTCCCGAAATCTTTTGCGCTCAAACCAGCCACATCAACATCATCGTTAAAGTAATGATTTCTACGAGAACTCTGACCTAACGACCTTCTTCTGAAAGTTCCCCTTTCTTCATGATATATTCCATGAGCAGATCCATCATAACCTTTTATCTCTGCGACATCCATGGATCTTTTCGCCAGATTCCGTATGTTCCTTTTCCCTTTTAGCTGCCATTTGGACATTGCTTCATTCACAGAAATATGATCATGAGGATGAAAGTGAGACATCTCACCAGAAAGAGATGACTCATCAGAATCCCCCTGGCCCATGCTTCCACCTCCTAGTGCATCAGGTCTTCGAAAGGCACCCAATCGAGCATTCATGCGTAAAGTAGCACCTGAATACCACCAATAGTTAGACAGGCCACCATGCTTTCCTGACTAAACATAAAATTCCTCAGGTAACCAAAAGGGGGTAGCAGTGGATGGTAGGGGGCCATCATCTCCCCCCCCCCCCCCCCCAAAAAAAAAAAAAACAATGTTCTCAAATTCCTACATGTGTGTGCGTGTGTTTGTTGGGGGGGGGGGGCAGGGATCCACTTAACAAGTATAATAAACTATTTAGTTTTACACCCATTTGTGACCATTGATCTTTATCTAATATATTGGTTAAGAGATGGTGAATGTTTTTTCATTTATTCAGGTAATCACCATAAACACTTCCCTTCTCTCTCATTCTTTCCCTTTTTAATATATATATATATATATTTTTTGGGTATTTAAACACACTCCCTTTTTAATATTCCATCTGTTGCATTTTTCACGTTCCTTACTTGATGGATAGCACCCAAACTTTCCGTTTCTTCTTCATGTCTCCAGGTTCATATGATTTTTTTTTTTTCATGCTATTACTATGGGATTGAATATGGTTCTTACAAAAATAAGCCCCTAAATCCCTTATTTTCTCAAATCCATTTTCTTTTATAGTACTAAAACCAGAGACGAATCTAGACTAAAATCCTGAAATTTGAGTATTTCTATTAGTAAGAGACCCAAAATTTAAATGATTCTTGTATTTACCCCCACTAAGATTCCAAAATAACAAGTAGGATTATTAGAAATAAACTCAAAATTTTTAATTATTTGTTTTTTACCCCCACTAAATGTAATAAAAAAAATTTAAGTACGGATCTTTTATAATATTGAAATATATATGAATGTATTAACAAAATAAAAAGTAATTGAATCGGTTAATGGTTCAAAATATAAATATAAAATTTATCTCTTTGCTACACTTATTGATCTTGTTAGAATGAGTTTTTAAATGGGTTACAGAACATGTTATGTCATGTTGTGTTTAATCTAACTTGTTTGATAAACTTGTTAATTGTGTGGTATTATATAATCCCTTTAATAAATATATTTGTGCATGTGTTTTTAATCTATTTATTTAATTGTCATGTTTATGTTTACCTATATAAGTGTTCATATTCTTTTTGAAAGTGACACAATTAAGACAAGCAAATATGATTTTGTCTACTATTTATATAAAAAAGTTTTTTTATAAATATTTTTATTATTTTATATTTCTAGAAGAATTTGACATTATATATTTTAATGAAAGTCATTTTAAGTTACAATAGTTTGTAAATAAATATTACTTAATAATTTACCCCTACTAAGTATAAATCTTGGATCCGTCCCTGACTACAACTTATACATTTTTCTTCATTTTTTGATAAATTTAATGGCAACTTTCATGAATAAACTAGTAAACATATACATATATGTGTGTGTGTGTGCATAACACTATAAATAAATGACAGACGTAGAAAATGAAAATGCAAGGAAATAAATCTTTAGTTTGATGGTTAGGGAGAGAGAGAGAAACAAGGAGAATTCAAAATGTGGTAAGAAATTTAAATGGTAATATATATTTATGTTTAAATGATAAACTATCAGCCATTAGATTAAACCAAGATCAACATTCACAAATAGCTATAAAACTATTTAGTTTTACACTCGTGTAATTGGATCTTTCCCTTATATATTAATTGGCCCCCCAAAATTGTTAATCTTATATTAAAATTCAGTGCTTTATAATACTTTCATGCATAGTTTTATATTGGCCTTCCAACTTAATATAACTTGGCTATGCCATTGCGATGGCATATTTAAGAACCAAACAGAAAAGGACAAATTTAAATTTCATATGTAGCCAATAAACCAACTTTCAAATTCCATTATAGATCTCTGCTATTAATTAAGTCTCACATTAGTTTTCAATTATGAAATTTGAGCACTTTACTCCATAATCTATACAACATTAGTTATGATTTAAACTACAATCTATACAAGATACACCATGGGCAAAGCTCAGAATAGTAATTAAATTTTTATATAAAAGAGAATTTCAAATATTTCATAACGACACTTACCAGAACCTATTTTCTTTATGTTATCTCCCTTTTCTATCTTTCTGACTCTCTTCCTCTTACCACTACCCATCTTCTTTTTTATTTTCATTTTTCTCTTCACTTTCATTAGTTAATTCAGCAACTTATTTATAACAGGTCGCACTAATAAGGTATTACCCACCAAAAAAGTCAACCAATATTACAACTTATTTCAGCAGATAACATAAACATGTCATAAGAAAACAGGAAGTCATATACACATTCAAAGTAGTTGAACAGAAAACAGAATTGCAGAGCATCTTTAATCCAGGTTGTTGTTCGACAACATATAAATTCCCTTCCCCCAATCACAACCTATGACTCAAACAACATAGCTGGCTGTAGTTGTTTCAGAGTCAATAATTTGAGAGAAGGGAAATCTCTGTTTAGGTGAGTACATCTTGAACTAAATACTATTAATGGTGTACAGAGAACAGTATGTGAAACATATGGTTTTCAAGCTAAATCAAGTAACAGCAAAAGACGTATTGCATGTCTGCAGGGTAGTACAATCGTAAACGTAGAAGAGAACATTTATCTGAGATGCAAGATAAACTTCCAAACATAATGCATGAAACTAGAGTTAAGACTAAGAAAAGTTAACCTGAATGTGAAGTGATATTCTCATCCATATCAGGTTCAGTCTCAGAAGAATCAGAATCTGACTCAGATTCAGAGGAAGTTGATTCGGAAGAACCAGATTCAACATCTTCCAAGAACTCACTAGTATTATCTTCAATCAAGTGATTAGGAAAAGGATAAGAATCATATTCCAGAAAACCGAAAGGTGACATCTCAATCTGGTTTGGCAGAATTTCTTTATATTCCAAAGCATCAAATGACTCAGCTGGCAAGTACGTGCATCTGCTCCTCTTTGCTCGAAAAACACCTCCCATCCGCTCTCCTCCTGAAATAGAAGTATAAACCACACCAAAGTCAGGTTGCAAAAAATGAGGGACTTCTAATTTTACACTCCTGTGCAATACTTGATCAAAAGAGTGGCTCCTTTCACCTCTCTTGACCAAAAACCCCTCAGTAAATCCCTCATGTAGCCTTTTCCTTTCATCTAAAGAAGATTTACCATTAATGTGAGTGGTTCTTCCCATGCTAGAAACCCTGCTGGAAGGAGATAGTGTATCATCAACATTCGAAGCACCAAAAGATGTAAGCTTTTGTTTTGTGCGAGTCGTCCTAAGCCCCAAGTCCTGCAATCCTCTCATCCGGGGTATGATTTCAGCATGATCATTTTCACAATTTGGCAGATTTCCCACTTGGTCTTTTTGCAAGTGTACAGGGCTGCTCACTGTCTCATCCTTGACAATAGTATCTTGACTCCTGGATTGATTTGATTTTGAGTTCTCAGGTTTTCCATTACTAATATCTGAACCTCCAGAATCCTTTTTAGCAGAACCAGATAATTTACTTCTTGCATCAGAAGGTCTATCCAATTTTCCTTCTTTTCTCAACAATTCCTTCTCAAGTTCAAGTGCGTGAAGGATAGCATCTTCCCTTCGAGCATATTTCTCTCTTTTCTTGGGTGGCATACCTTGTGAGGATTCTGCCCTTTCAATGCAATCATCAAACTCCCCACATCGAAATGCCTTCACACGCTTAGACTTTTCTAAATTGTACCAATCACTGAGAAGAAAAAAAGAAAGAATATCTTAAAAACAGAAATAAAGTGAAAACTGAAAATGGAAAAGCAGATTATATATCATAAATATTCTAATCAAGTAAAAAAAACTTTTGAACCAAAATTCAGCCATGACATCATAAAGACTATAGCCTTTAAAGAATACACAAAAGGGAGGCAATAAAGCAAAATGAAGTCACATTATTCTCCCAAATAAAATCACCACAGAAGAATAGTTGCAAACAATGGAAACAATGCAAGTAGAAAAAAATTAAATGCCTCCAAGTTATTTGCACATTTTCCACATCCATTTATCAGAATGAGAGTCAGAAAGATAGAAAAGGGAGACAACATGACTGGCAAGGAAGACAGCCTGGATAGGGAAAGGTATTCCATATACAAAAGCACAAGGAAAGGAAAGGTGACAGCATTTCCATTCAACAGAGGATTTGCCTAGGAAAAAGTATGCAAATTGATTTACTAACCCTATTGGCATCTATTCTAAGACCAGAAATTGTCTAAGATTGCAACAAAGTAATGAAAGCATTTATAAAGCAAATGAATAACAGTATTAACAGATTTTCAGTAAATTGACAATTAAATTAGTATAACCAGAAGTGAAAGGTGCCTCAAATATGCTACTACTGTTTTTTGGATATGCTAGTGGAAAGCAAAGTTATTTTGTTAGCCTAAAACTTGAAAAAAGCACCTGCTATGCTTCAAATGACTACATCACTAGTCTTTCTCCAGACCTCTAAACATCAGGTTTGACATGTATCTTTAATAAAAATGAAGAATACATCAATGTAGCATCTCTTACTCTAACATGGATAGTAAAGAAGCAATAAAATAATAAATAAACACATATCTTTAGGTTCAACTGTTCAGAATAAGGTTAAAAGGGCCTACTTAACTGACATAACAGTCTAAACATTATTCAAAGGACATTAATGATGTCAACACATTACATCAACCTTTCAGCCGGATAACATTTAATGCGCCATCAAGAAAAAATGCGTGTGCGTCTGTGCTGGTGACAGTGTTAGGGTTTACTAATAACAGTATTTCTTCATAGGTCCAAAGTCCAAATAATAGATTTGACTGGAATGTCCTGATTAGTCTTCCACTCTGCTATTCTCCCTCTCTTTAATCAGAAATCATAAAGAAACGCAGATATATGTCATTCAAACCCTAGACACCAAGCAAGTCGGAGCTATAACTACCTATATTTAGATCTTCACAAAAAAGTTTGCAGAGTGACAAAGGACTAGACTCTATAGTAAACCATTGATCATTCACAACTTTCTAAGCAAACCAACTACGAATTAAAACAGAATTCCATATCATAGTACATCATCAAAATACTTCATTTAATCGTAGAGTCATTCTCACTGTTTTTTTAAAGATCAGTTAAACCTTAACGTGTCCGTTCATAGGACTCGCACATCCTAACTTCATTTGCCATAAAGTCTCCAAACATTGACATAAATCACATTATCCTCCATTCTTCACTAGTTCAATTCTATCCTGAATCCTTGCTGGCCTAGGCGTATAAGCATCAAGATAAATCTTCTAAATTTGTTACATTAAAAACAACTTGTAAGTTTTCTTTTTTGGAATGCTAAAACAAATTAAGCCAATAAAACTCACAAATTAAAAAAAAGAGAGGAAAAAAGCCAATAATAAGAGATTTACACGCTAGCATCCTCTCTGCCAAGAAGTTTGACGGGAGTTCCGGTCCTCGGAGACGTAAGGTGAGACGCCGGTAACTCTTCGGGCCCCAGTATCTTCCCCGGCCACCACGAACCGTTCCTCCTGCGTACCCACACGATCGACCCGACTCCTACTCCATCTGATCCTGCCCCACTCTCCATATCTTTCTCTCTCTATCTCTATCCTATTTCTCTATTTTCCGTAAATTAACAGGTTTAACATCTAATAAAAAAAATGAAAGGAAAAGCAATAAAAATTAAATTAAAGGGGTAGGTCAGGGGGTTTCAGCCGCCGGCGAAGAACAGAGAGAAACGGAGGATCCGAAAGCGGGAGAAAGGGAGGGATCCGAACAAGGGGATTCGGGTGAGAATTAGGGTTAGGGTTTCCATTCAGAAATTAAATTTGGGGAATTTTGTACATTTCTAAATTTTTTATTTTTTATTTTTTTGTAAGTTGAATTTGGAAGGGATTCTCTCTGTCTCTTTGTTTGTTTGTTTGTTTGTTTTTTTATTTTTTATTTCATGTTGTATTCCTAAATAGCATTATTTATTCCAAAAGCGTTGTAAACGTGCGTAGGTATTGGACTGCAACCCGGTTTGAAGTAACCGGTTTTCTAAGTGTATAAACAGTGAGTTACGGTTCAAGATTTTTTTTATATTAATTGTTTTGGAAAGATTTTGGTACGTTAATCCACAAAAATTTTATTTTACTAACATTGAAAATTTTGGTGAATTTTTTTTCTTTTAAATAAAAAAATAATATTTTATTTTTGTTATTTCACCTCTAATGTATTGAAAACAAAAATCCTTTTGTATAGTATAAGGTTTTGATGAAAACATGCGACGTCCTACCTTGAATCATGCATAGGCCCAAACTACTTTAATTGTAATAAAGAAAGGTAGCTTGTTGCTCAAATGAGAAAATGATTGAAAACTAACAAATATGGCTTCAGGTATTAGAAGCAATAATCCACCTAATAAGTTGAAAAATAAAAAAATTTTACTCAAAAAAATTTACATATATCTTATTTTTAAATTTAATTATTTAAATTAATACGAAAATATAAATTTAATTATTTATATATTTATTTTATATTTATTTCAAGTCAAATATGTAAAAATATAAAAATTACTATATTATTTTCGTAATTGTTTTTTTTATTATATTTAAATTATCTATACATATCCTTAAAATATAATAAAAAAAATTTTTAATTACTTTTGTAGAATTAAAAAATTTTGTCATTAATATATAAAAATAACTCAAAAAAATAAGAGTATCTCATATATGAAATAAATTATTAACAAGTGATTAGTTTAATCGGTTGTTCGTCTTTTTCAATAAAGAGATTTTTGGTTTAAGTCTTATCAATAATAATTTATTGAGATCATATTGAATGCATGACTTATAATTTTTTTACATTTTGACTTTTTTCTCTTGTTCGGTTTTTTCTTTTCTCTTGTTTGGAAAAACTAAAGAACATGTGAAAAAATTTTCGGAATTGCGTATTTATTAATTCAAAATTCAATTCAATGATGCATTAATTAATGCATCATTGAATTGAATTAATAAATATTCAAATAGATAGAATTCGAATATCGAGCGGGTAGCGGGAATCGAACCCGCATCGTTAGCTTGGAAGGCTAGGGGTTATAGTCGACGTTGATTCATTATTTTTAACGTCTCTAATTCAAAGCCGAACATGAAATTTTGGTTTCATTCGGCTCCTTTATGGAAGATGGATAAAAAAAAAGAAATAAATAGAAAAAAATAAATAAGTGAGATCATCTCGAATGCATGATTTGCATATAAGACCATCTCGAATACATGACTTGCACTTATTTATCTTAACTGTAGGTATGACACATCTTGTATTAGAGATTAAACAATCTATTTATCCTGATTATTTTTTATAAAAAAAAATAAAAAATTGTACTTATTGGTATCATTTATTATTTTTTTTTTTGGAAAATTAGTTTTATTTCCGGAAAATTTTTGTGGGATTCTTCATTTTTCTAACCAACAATAAAAAATCCAAGACCCTAAATTCAAATTTCAAATCCAGCAGCTCCAACGGTCATATCGTCTAGGGTTTTCTCTCAACGTCTCTTTCCTCCTCCTTGACTCTTTTAAATGCCGCATTTCTTCCCTGGTTTTTGCTGCTACAAAACACAACAATCTTTTTCTCAGTAACCAAACAAGAAAAACAAACTATCTCCGTTTGTTTCCTTCTTTTGATCTTTGAAAACAGAATGGATTTCCATAGCCTTACAAGGAAAGAGCTCCAGGCTCTTTGCAAGAGGAACAAAATCCCAGCTAATATTACCAACGTAGCCATGGCTGATGCACTCAAAGCTCTTGAGATTGTAAGCTTTTTTATTTTTTTATTTTTCCTTTGTGGCAATTTTTGAACACCCATTTTTTTTATTTATCTTGATATTTTGCTGGTTGCGGAGAATAAAAAAAAAAAATTGACTGCATTAGAAGTTCATATCTGAACTGCTTCATTTATATGATTGACAATATAAAATATCTCTTATGTTAATCAATTTCTGGAATTTTTATGTCTCTGCAGCTTCCTAAAATTTACCCATTGTTGGATTCTTTAATTATTGGAATGGTTCCGTTTGCTTGCCGGGAAAACATAGGAAAATAATAATTTCTTTTCAAAAAAGAAACAATGTTTTTAAGACCCCATTACCTGATAATAATATCATATGAAAACCCCCAGTTTTCTACAGATCGAGTTCATTGATTTCAAGATTCATAGGAAAAAAAACTCATTGTCTTGAAAAAACACCAATTCCCTCATAGTAACATTCTTTGTAAATCATTGTATCAGGTTGAAGGACTTGATGAATTCATGAATCAATCTCAATCCCCAGAGAAGACCATGAACAAATCATCACAAGATATACCCTCTACTGCGGCTAGGACATCAACTCGGAGAAAAACTACCGAAGAAGAACCTCAAAGCACACAACCAACAACCCGAACCCGGAGATTGACAAGAAGAACAATGGAATTGGATGAAGAAAACAAGAATGTGAACGTGCCTGAGACTCCTGTTATGGCTACTACTACCAGGAGAAGGGCTCAGAAAACTGAGACTGAAGTTGAGGAGCAGAAGAAGAGTGATCTGCTTGAAACTCCAGCGTTGCAGAGTGGCAGGAGAAGGCCTGGAGTGGGATCTACCAGGAGGAAAGTTGAGGCTCAGAAAGAAGGGTCACTGCAGCAGGGCTATGGCACGAGGCGGTCAGTAAGGTTGTTGGAGAAGTGCATGACCGGGTTGAGTTTGAAGGAGAGTGAAAGAATGGAGCCTGTAAAGATTGATGAAATGCTGGAGGATGAAGTTGAAGAGAACAAGAATGGTCAATTTGGTATGTTCTTTGTTTAATGAATTTGAGATTTCAATTTTCAGATTTTTCATTCACTATCCTGTTAGTGAAGTAGGTTTGATGAGTCTGGTAATTAATATATTGCAGAAGCTCCAGCTGAAGTACCTTTGGCTCGAAATTTAATTGTGTCCCTTCAAGATGAAAGGGACTTGAAAGATAATGTTCTGGAAAACAGCAAGTGTTATCACAGTGGAGGAAATGATTGCACAGTGATATCTGAGGCTGGTTCTCACAAATCTGATAATTTGGACACAAAAGATGCATCCCTTGATAAGTCAGATGCTTATTTGGCCAATTTGGCCAAAAGTGCAGACTCTGATGGAACCATAGACACAAAGGGTATAATAGCTATTTTTTTTCCCCTCTTTAACATTTTCTGAATTCTGAAATATGCCAACCACTTTGTTCATTTTGTTAAAAATAGTTTCTCTAGCTATTTATGTCCTCTTAAGTAAATGGTGGATGTTGCATTTCAGGATCTGATGATTCTGCTCTCTCTGAAGACTCACATGAGAACGACAACTCAAATGAGGAATCGATAGCTGAGAACAACGGGGGCTCTCATACTGATGAGACTAGATCAATAAACGCACTGGTTGCTGACGCCTTTGAGGAGTTATCTGAAGAGGCCTTGGATAATTCCTCATCTGCAGAATTTATGGAGCAAATAGAAGTTGTGTCTGTAGAAGAATACGCTGCTAATCATGCTGCACTAGATGTTGAACGCCAAAAGTTAGTTGGCAAAGATTGTGATTGCAATGTTGTTGTGCTGAATGATGATCTAGCCAAACTTCCACAAGCTGAAGAGTATGACGGATGTAAAGTATCTCAAAATGTTTCAGCTCTCCCTGAAGGTCAAATGGATTCCTCAGAAAAAATGGGAAATGAAGAATCTGAGGATGATCCAGATCAAATTGATGATGACACACGATTTGACAACAATTCTTTAGCTGATGAACTACAAGAGGAAATTTCATGTGAACAAAAATGCATTTCTATACCAACAGCTGCCTACAGCTCTGAGGATCCAATGATTAATATGGTGAATGGAGAAGAATTGGTTGATGTAAATGTAGCTGAAGCTGAAATAATCCATGTGGTAGAAAGTTCATTCCACAATGCTCCCCGATGTGTTGTGGGTGATATCCCAATTCACAAGATGCTAGATAATGGTGATGCAGAAGCATTGGTCGATATCTGTGTAAACCCTGTGGAGGAATTTGAAGAGACCACCCAGGAAATCCCTCCAGAGGAGAAGAGTCCCACTGCCGCAAAGCTAATGAGTCCTTGTCCTCCTCTTACCTCAAACTGTGCGATTACAACTTCAATACGTGTTGTGGGTGATAACCCAATTCACAAGATGCTAGATTATGGTGATGCAGAAGCAATGGTTGATATCTGTGTAAACCCTGCGGAGGAATTTGAAGAGGCCACCCAGGAAATCCCTCCAGAGGAGAAGAGTCCCAGTGCCGCAAAGCTAATGAGTCCTTGTCCTCCTCTTGCCTCAAACTGTGCGATTACAACTTCAATACCATTGTCACCATTGACAGCTCAATTTTCTCATCCATCTAGTTTCACACCAAGGAAATCTTCAAGCATGAAACAGACAACAATTCCAAAGGTGATTCAAGTTTCAGATAACAACAATAAGGAGAACATTGACAACAACAGTGTGAAGGAAGTGGTGCCTAACCTGGGAAAGGTGAAGGAAAGCAAGAATATCATTGATGAGGAAACCATGCAGAAATTGGATGGTATGAGTCTAAGGAATCTAAAGAAGCTAACCAAGAAGTTTGACAAACTACAGATCATTGACAATATGAAGAAAAACGAAGATAAGAATGACAGTAAGGTGAGGTCCATTTTTACTCTTTATTAAATGCTTTGGAATAATGCTTCATTGTAAGTAATTTGGTTTGTTGATTTATGAGCAGCCACTTGGGAAGACCAGACCAGCCTTGCAAACACTGCCACAGAATTGTATGAGCACTGGAGAAGTAGAGAAGCAAAACTGAAACAAGTATAGAAAGAAAAGCGTGAGACCACTACATCGATAAAATGGATTCATTCAAACCTTGGTTTGTTGATTCCCTTGCCGGTAATTCTAGCACAGCTACCAGAGATTGTTTTGATGGCTGTTTTTGAATTTTACAATAATGTTCTTTCATCCATTATTTTGCCAAGTCAAAGATGTCAGAGAGACCAATTTTGCATATCAACATTATGTCATTATATTACCTTTAAGACAAATCTCTGTTTCTCTCGCTTATCTCGCTCCCTTTATCCCAGACTTTTTCTTTTCGTGAGAGATTATACCAGACACTTTTCCAAGGTTTTTTCGTTTTGCCAGCAAAAAGATATTGAAAGCATGTAGAAAATATACACCTCAATTACATTTATACCAAGGGTTTAAGGGGTTACTGCTCAAAAATGCTTAGTCAAACGGGCTCAAAAGAACCATTCAAGGCAATCTAGGTGAAGCCATTCAAGGAAATCTAGGTGAAGCCTAAATCTCGGTTCCTTTTCTTATCTCTATCTCTCTGCACTGTTTTAGATTTAGAACCAGTACTAGATCAATCTCTTTTAACACTAGAAGAGTCATCTATCAAAAGCTAACCAAATCCAAACCAAAGCAACTGCTTAGTTTCAATTGTAATCCTATATCACTGTTCACAGTGCCAAAACAGCCTCCAAACAAGCTAGCTACCCTCCATTTTTATAAAGGTATAATGAATCTACAATATGCGAACTTGCTATATTTACGGTGCCCTCTCTTCAGATTTTTTTATCAATCCATTCATGGTAAATGCAAGTTGGAGTAATGGATTAATGGCACAAAAACCGAGTCATACAGCCATGTGGCACCCAGCAGATATGCGATTTAAAACCCAATACCTGTTACCCTTTCTCTTATTTTTTTTTTAGATTGCGGCTTCTTTTGTACCAAAAAATATGAGTTTCGGGAAAGATTAATCACCAAAAAGTTGTTGAACAGTATCTAAAACCAAAAATATGACCTTGCCTCCAATTTATATTAGAAAAACACTACAAAGAGGCCATCTTCTCACCATCATAACAATCTCTCAAGTGAATACTCATTCAACCATACAACAGAGTAGACATAAGAAAAAAAAAAAAAGAAAGTATATTTCACCAGAATCTTCTCTCTATCATAATCTCTCTTGTGAATGCTCATTCAACCACACAAAAACAGAGTAGACATAAGACATAAGAATTTAATTGAATATGGTCCACCAAAGATTTTAAAAATAACATTTAAATTTTTTTTTTTATAAATTATATAAAAAAACACTGAAAAAAATGTATGGCTAGTGTTGTTTCCATAAGAAGTTAAACTGTGCTTGATTTACTTAAATAATATATATTTTAGCTACTTATATTGTAAAAGAGCTGTTAAGAATATTTCAACATAAGAATATTGTTAGCTTTAAAAATAATTTTTTTTTCTAAAATGTTTTTATTTCATTAAAATTCTGTTTCAACACCATCTTCACTGCCTTTTATTGATAATATGTGAGGAAATTGATTTAATTTATATACAAGTATTGAGATCCATAAGATCTGATTATAAGCATTAACTTTAAATATATCTTCTATAAGTATTAAGTTTAAATACAGGTTTTATAAGTATTTAGGTTTTATAATAACATAATATGCATACTTACAACAAAATAAAAGGAGAATATACTGAAATAAATACTAAACAATGGATGAAATTTTACAGGGAAGAAAAATAACTCTAGTTGTATAATCCAAAATATTATAATTTTTCATAATTAAAATAAAAAAATATTTATAAAAGCTTTCTTTAATGAAATAAGATAATTCCAAGTGTTATCATCATATAACCTTATTTATTAAAAAACTTTAATTCCAAATGATACAATCTTATTACTCAATTTATAAAAGGTTTTTAATAAGATAATTTCAACTGTTGCAACCATATAAATGTTAAAAAAAAAAAAAATCAAAACACTTTTAGAATATGTCTAAAGCATCACAACTTCCATAAAAGAACTCTAGAAGTTTTAAAAATATGTACGTTTTTGGTAATAAAATATTTACAATTTAAACATAAAGAGTAAATGTGTAAATGATATATTAATACTAGTAAATTATTTAAATTTAATTCAAATAAAACTCAAATTTGATTAAATCATTGGTGAGTCGAACTCGAACAGTTTAACTTATCGAGTAAGCTTAGTTTAAGTTTTTTAATATTCGATTTAAATAATTTACAAGTCTAATCGAGCTTTTACATTTAATATTTTTTATTAAAAAATTATTATTTTATCTTTATATATATATGAATTCGAGTTTTAAGTTCGAGTTTAAATATAAATGATTGAGTTTTAAAATGAGCATAGTAATCGAGTTTTTTTTTAATTTGATAAATAAGCCTAATTAAATGAGTTCGAGTAGGTAGACTTTTATCTCAAGTCAAATTCAATCTTAAAATATAAAACTTGATGAGTTTAAGTCAAATTTTGAGCAATGAATTTTAAGTCAAGCTTGAGTTTCTCATTTTATCGATTTGATTATACCTCCATGTAAAATTAAGTATATGGTTAAATTTAAAAAAAAATAATCGAGAAAAGTAAAAGGTAAAAAATGAATTAAATAGAGGAAAGCAAACAATATAAAATCAACCAAATAGAATTTATAGTTTTGATGTAATGTAATTTTTATGTTGATAATCAGTACATTATATTGAAGATGTTCCAAGAGTTTTTACAGCTCAATTTTCAGCCAAACGGGATAGGATATTAACGTTGATTGGAGGGGTAATTTTGGTAGTGAATATATTTATTAAGGTTAAATTTAATTTTTGATTCTTAAGTTTCGGGTTAATTAAGTCATGATACTTTTATTTGTAAAATTTTTTTACTTCGCTGACAGCTAAAACTTTTTTGTTTGGTACTTATGGTGAAAAAAATTAAAAGAACAGGAAGAGGAAAGAGTTAAACCTTCTAGGTAAGGGTGTAAATGTAAATAAATTAAACATTAGTGAACGTATTTATTTTCATAATTTGGTATTTTATTTTTAAGAAAATAAGGTAAGGTATACTCGTAAATTATTTAGATTTGACTTAAATAAAACTCAAATTTAACTCGATCATTGTCAAGTGAAGTTTGAGCAACTTGACTTATGGAGCAAGCAAAATTCGAATTTTTTAACTTTTTAACGTTCGATTTGAGTAAATAATAGGCTTAATCAAAATTTCTATACCTTTTAATTATTAATTAAAAAACTACTATTTTATCTTTATATATATGAATTTGAATTTGAATTTGAGTTCGAACGTAAATAATCGAGTTTGATGTTGAATATGATAATGAGTTCTTTTATTTTTTAATTTGATAAATGAGCTTAATCGAGTAAGTTCGAGTAATTTGACTTTTATATTAAATTGTGATTTTAAAATTTACAACTCGATCAAATTTGAATTGAGTTTTAAATAGTAAATTTTGAGTCAGGTTCAAGTTTCTCATTTTATTGACTTGACTTGATTCGATTACATTCTTATGCAAGATTAAGTGTATGGTTAATTTTAAAAAAATAGAGAAAAAGCAAAAGATAAAAAATAAATTAAATAGAGAAAAGCAAACAATATAAAATCAACCTAATAGAATTTAGAGTTTTGATGTAACGCGATTTTTATGTTGATAATACATTATATTAAAGCTATTCCAAGGAATTTTAGAACTCAATTTTCAGTCAGATGGGATAGGACATCAATATTAATTTGAGGGGTAATTTTGGTAGTGGTTATATTTATTAAGGTTAAATTTGATTTTTGGTTCATAAGTTTGGAGTTAATTAAGTCATGATACAATTTTTTAAAACATATTTACTTTGCTAACAGCTAAAACTTTTTTGTTTGGCATTTATGTTAAAAAAAATTAAAAGAATAGGGAGAGGAAAGAGTTTAACTTTTTATGTAAGAGTCTAAACAAATCAAATATAAACGAATGGAGATATGTCCTTAATTTATTATTTTATTTTTAAAGTTGTTTGAGTTTATTTCATATTTGATAAAAAAATTATTCTATTTGTTTGAATTTAATTTGTTTAAATAATAAGATGTTCTTGTTTAATTTATGTTTGGCTTGATTAAATTAAATGAATTCGTGTAATATAAAAAAAAATGCATTCAATAATATGTGAAGCATTGCTTTAATTTATAGGTTTGTTAAGGAATACTTGGGGTACTCATTAAGATTATCATATTAAAAAAAATTTTAATATTTCTTTTCAATGCATTGAAACTATCACATAAATTATCTATACTAAACTAGATTAAAAGAATACCCTAAGGATTTTTATGTGACACTTATTCAATATTGGTAAATTATCATTGTACCTTTATTCTTCAATTTTATTTTTAATTATTTTACTTTATTTGTTTGTTTTATTTATTTTTATTTAATTATTTAATTATTTTAATTTATTTAATTTGTTATTTATTTTAATTTAAAAATCAGGATAGATTTTGATTAGTAAAAAAAAAAATTTTTAAATTGAAAATTTGTATTAAAATTTTGAAAATAAATAAAAAATTATTTCAATGATGAAATTTTTAATAATCACAAACAATTGAATTTTTAAAAAATTTTATATGAGATGTTTTTTAAAATTTTACCCAAATTATTGGAAACTTTTAGAAAAAAAATTTTGCAATGATAATTGACATTAATTTTTCAGCAAAAAATAAAAGGTATTAAAATTTTGAAAAAAAAAAACTATTTCAAAGATGATAAAATTTTGAAAATAAATAACAAATATTGCCAAAAAAAATTAATTCATAGAAATATAGTTTTCTTGTTATCTAAGATATATAATTATATGTACAACTAAATAGAAGAAAATGATTGATAATTAAAATAAGTCACAATCAAGCTCTAACCATCTGAGGGTATATTTGTAATATATTACAATAGAATTATTTTTACTTCTGTTGCAAGAAATCAAATCCTTTGGCAGAGGAACTAGTAAACCGACTTGATAACTTCTATATGTATTGAAGTTCAAAGTTTCCTAAATTCTAATAGCAGCTTTAGTTTTTTAAGTTGAGAAAAAAAAATGGAGGTGAAAGGAGTAAGGGTTAAGGTTCTTGGGAGGGGATCGTATGGGGCTGTACATTTGGTCCAAACGATTGGTCATGTTCCTCAGTTTTATGCTGTGAAATCTGCTGATGAGACAATGTCGTCGTCTTTACGAAAGGA